TGCTCTGAGCTGTGCAGGAGCAGCAGCCACAGGTTCCAAGGGGAGAAATGGTGCTTCTCCCAGGGAACAAAATGCAAGGCTCATTCTGTCCTGCTCTTGGATGGGGACAGGTATTTCCTGACTGCAGCCACCCACCCTGGCAGGACAGGGAGCAGAGGATGCACTGGATCCCTTCTCCCTCCCTGCCAGCACTGCCCACTAAGTTATGATACTGCAGAGAAAAAAAGGAAAAAAAAAGAAAAGAAAAAGAATTTGGTGTTCAACCTAATCAGACTTGGACCAAGTCTCAGCTCAAACCAAGGTTAAATAGGCCTGTTCTAAGGTAGGATTTATATAGCAATTACAGTAATGGAAACTGAGCTTTATAATTCTTATACTGCCTAAAATTCTGCTGTGTCATATGCATCTGCAGAGCCCGAGGAATGTGCTGCTCGGAGAGCACTGCAGTCCTGAAAGCAGCCATTCAAATGGATCATGGAGAGTTATTGGAGCACGTGGATGGCCGAGATTTTTATGAAGCACAAAGAGTTACAATCAGAAATCCTGGGAAAAGCAAGGAGCTGGTATCTGAGACAAGCAGTATTTTTTTATTTTTTTTTTAATACTTTATTTTGTTGGGAACGTTGGGAACTAGATCTCCATCAGACACGGTGCAAACAGCATTGAGAGTGTCCTTTTTCTCCTTGGATTTTTTCCCCTTTGCTGCAGTCTCAGATCCACAGTGCAAAATGCATCTTGGCCAGGCAGAATCCTCGCAGCCACTTTCCAGTTCGCTCCTGTTGTGCAAGGAAAAATAGCGGTGCGCTAAGTCTGCGCTGTGATAAAGAACAGCTCGGGAAGATTTGGGGATCTGATAGGGGGTTTGGCTCCACCTTCAGGAAGCAGAAGGCAGAGAGACAACGCGGGGTTGAGTTTCAGAGTCTTCCCGCAGAATCTGGAGGCTGACATCGTTCCTGCCCCCCAAATCTCTGCTCGGATTTATCACAAAGTCCCTGAGCTGATGCCGTGACATTTCTACATGAGCGATGCAGCTCTCAGGAGTCCACCTCCTCCTGCAAGAACTTGAAGAATTGGGGCAGGATGTCCAAAGGGAGACGATACTTGGACAAAAAGCAACAAAAAGCAATAAAAAGCAACAAAAAAGCAGCTTTAAGGTGACAAAAAGTTGGGCTGCATGGGATGCCACAGAAGTGCATCAAGCACCAGTAGCCATTGACACTGTCAGTGCTGAGTTCCCCTGCAGAATGTGATTTTTCTCTTATAATTCACAGAGATTAGGGAGGTTCTCTGGGTATCACAGATGGATTGAGAGGAAGAAAGTGGGAAGAGTCTTGATCATATTTCAGTCTAGCAAAACACTTAAGCATATGCCTAAAGTTGAGCTATTTTTTCTCCTCAGATTCAGGCAGAAGACGCAAACAGAACAATCTCTTATATTTCACTTTTTGGCAGACTCTGATGCTGAACCCAGAACAAGGTAGCTGGTTGGAGAGCATGTTTTAAATGAATTTAAATGGTGCACTTTTTTAAAAAGCCACACAGTGACCACTTAGAATAATGAAAATGGCAGGGTAGTTAGGGATGACACTGAGTTTGAAAGTCTGTATGATGCATTACTGAAATAATCAGCAATCACACAATTAGCAACAGTCCTGTGAGTCCTAAAGGCAGTGGAAATGCACGGTCTTGCCTCTGGAATTCCCCCAGCTGGGTGCTTGAGCACCTAACTTTATTGTATTTAACATTGCTTTCAGGAGGAAGCAGGTTTGAAAAGTGCAGAGCAAGCAGCAGCGGAGAGATGGCCTAAACACCTAATGAATCTAAAAATAAAAAAAACCCTCAAAAACACTGAGAGGAGATGGGAGCAGACTGAATAGACAGAGCTGTGCAAGCAAATATAACTGAATATACTCCTGAGGAACAAAGGAAACAATCCTTGATGGGGTGACAACAGATGTTCTCCAAAAAAAATTCTAAGGGAGCATTTCAAACACAAAGACCTTCCTGTGGAGCTGAGAAGTTTTACTGGCAGACATACAGGAATACATCTTTGGAAACACAGTAAAAGCTAACATTTAAGGTGTTATCAGGTCCTGAAAGCAGCAGTGATATCTTCATGTAATAATTACTGGGTGGTGTTGGAGAGGGAAATGTTGGGGATAACAAAATGGTGTCACAGGAAGCTGCTGTAGCAGAGTTGTGCTACAATCCCGGGAGGAATAACAAGTTTGTTCTAAAAAACCTCTATGAAAAGGAGCTCTAGACACAAGTGAGAGATGTCCAGGTGAGCCCAGCTGAAGGAATGCAACCCAGAGTCATTTATTAGTGCAGTCAGCACACTGAAGTGCCACCACTTTGCCACTGTGGGAGCGAATGCCCAAGGCTGGATGTTTCTCCCAGCTACAGCTTCCTCAGGCCATGGTCAAGCACATTGCAGAGAATCTTAAATTGGTCATTACAAAAAAAGGAGGGGAAATAGGACAGCTTGCAGAGTAATTTTTGAAATGACTGAACTGTACTGGTAGTTTGGGAAGATCTGGGTTTAATGCCTGGCCTGAATCTGCAGCATCTTCAGTGAACAGTTTTATGTGAGTTTTTAAAGGCTGGGCACCTCAAACTCTTGTTTTAAACTCTGGCCATTACTTTTTATGTTCTTCAGTTTTACAGATACAGAATAATATTTCTCTGCCTAGTTGGAATGTTGAAAGGATTCCTGACTATCTGCAAGGCCAGCAGATATCATTCTATCTGGGAACGAGGCAGGAGGACAACATAGTACATTGTCTAATTATTTTCATTGCTTTGCAACTGTTTTGGGGAAAACAACCCCGAGAGAAGATTATTCCAGTGCAATCAGAACTACAGAAAGACTGGGATGGACAACTTGATTGACAGGAGAAAGCTGAAGCAGGCAGCAACACAAAAAATCATCATTGGACAGACATTTTGATAAATATTACTGCAGCCAATTCATTATTAACACAGTGGGACAGCTTTACATCTTGCATCACACTTTTCACAGCCCTTATGGTAAACATGCCATATCTGACAATTACAAGATGAAAACAAAGACCTCACTAACTGTCTCCTGGCCCTGCAGCGTTCTCTGCTTGCTCAGTTAACCCTCTCTCCACTTCAGCTGTGCAGCTAAACGAGCAGATAGAAACATATTATACATACATTAACATTTATTGTGTGTTCCTGTAGGGATCACAACCGCGGCAGCAGCCCATGAAGTTCCTGAAGGATAAGCAATCCGTGGCACTCATTCCTAAAAGGCTTCCCAGCCATGGGAGAGGGTTGTGGCTGAGGTGAGAAACTGTCAGGACAACTGACAAGACAGAGGACCAGGGGGAATCCCTGCTCAAGGGGAAGTCACCCATGGCTGTGTCCTGGCTGCGGTGGCAGAGCGGGGCAGCCCCAGTGTGAGCAGCCCTGGGTCCCAACCCAGGCTCCAGCAGGGATGGATCCCACAGCAGGGATGGATCCCACAGCAGGGGTGGATCCCACAGCAGGGATGGATCCCAGAGCAGGGATGGATCCCACAGCAGGGAAGGATCCCACAGCAGGGATGGATCCCACAGCAGGGGTGGATCCCACAGCAGGGGTGGATCCCACAGCAGGGATGGATCCCACAGCAGGGATGGATCCCACAGCAGGGGTGGATCCCACAGCAGGGATGGATCCCACAGCAGGGATGGATCCCACAGCAGGGATGGATCCCACAGCAGGGATGGATCCCACAGCAGGGAAGGATCCCACAGCTCTGATTTCCTGGACTGGCTGACACCTTTTCTCTTCCTACACAAACCATGAAGTTGGACCAGCAGTTCTTTCTCTCTGCTGGCTGCTTGGCTTCTGGGATTAGCAATCTCACAGACCTCGGAACTAAAATCGTATTTTCATCTGATTCACACTGAATGGCTCCTCAAATTTTTTTTACAGATAACGAACCTGGATTGCTGAAATCACCAAGTCAAGCCCTCTGCTACTTGTACACCTGGAGACACACTTTAGAATGCAATCTTGTGTGAAAAGTCACCCAAGGCTATTTTTTTATTATAACACCCATGACATCTTTCTATTTTCACAGGTTCATTATCAGCTTCAGGGCTGGAAAAACCAAAAGCAGACAAGTCACAGGATGATCTTAGGCAGATTTTATTTGATTCAAACATTTATTTTCCATCCACTTCCTGTCTGTTTTTCAAAGTATTCCAGGGAACAAAACTGATGAGCACAAAGAGCATTCAGTGAGAGAGAGAGCAAAGGGAGACAGAACAAATATCAGGCAAAGGAATGGAGCTGACAGAGTGTTCTTGTCTCTTTGAGCCCACAAGGAAAATGCATGGTAGGAAGGATTCCAAAACCACATCTTTCTTGCGTGAAGGAAAGAATTAACGTTAAGCACAAAGTATTCCTTGTGGTTTATTCTCATTATGTGACATGTCAGGTTATGCTGATTTGGGGGAAAAAAACAGGATTTCTTTACAAAGCTTTCTGTGCACTGGGCTCAAGGTGGGTTAAAAAGAGCCCAAACCTCACAAATTGTGCTTCCATAAATCCACTCTGGAATCTCGTTTTTTGGGAATTCCCTTAAAAATATAGTTTGTGGATGTATTAATAACAGGTTGAAAGTTTCTGCAAAACAAAAGAATAGCCCAAATTTTTATAAAAAAAAAAATACACTGAAGCCTCTATGGTGTGGGTTTCTCCCTCAATGCCAGTTTTCATTAGAAGGTGAAGAGAATGCTTAAAATTGGTCAAATAGCATGAAGATTTTGTTGACATGTTTTCTATGTGTACTTATTTCTCCTGAAAGGAACATCCAGTGAAATACTGGTTGTCCAAAAGACTTTGGTCAAACAGCTTTGAAAGACACTTGAATTTATTGCGCTGAAACACAACTGACCCAAAATAAGAGCATTTTAAGGGCTTTAGTAGTACAAAGAATTCACTCTTTTGACACTTTGTAGCTGTAAAACACACACACTAATTTATTTTCAGGAAAAAAAGGGTATTTACTTCACTATGGATGGTTGTAAGAGAGGAAAGAAAAATTCAAAATCAGCAGAACAATAATTTCCTTTTCTAACCTCAGGGCACCCCAACATCCACCCTGCTTTTTTGTGATGTGTCTTCTACAGTTCTATTTTTTATGCATCCATATTTCTACTGTTCATCAGCACTTGGCCAAATTTTGCAACTTGGCCAAAATGTAAAGAAATAATTGTTTCAATTAACAGCATTTCAAACCAGCATAAGATTCAGGGCTCTTTGGGTCTTAACAAGATGGAAAAAAAGGCAATTTGTGTGGTTGGGGATATTTAATTTCCAAACTGTCACATGAACAGACCCCCAGGTGTAATCCTGGCCCATCCATGCTAAAACTCTTACCAATTTCAATGGAATAAATATATATTTATTAGCATATTTATTAGGAACAACTCTCTCTGCAGCTCTCTGTAACGTTCTAAATTACATCAGTGCAAACTGTGACAGTCTGCACACAGATATAACTGAACAACAAACTGTCTGCTCCCAGCAACAGAGCAGTCCCAAAGTTCCACCTTTTGAGGTAAACTTGTTCATGTGAGGAACTTTCACATTTTATCATCTTTGTTCACCGAGCGTTTAATGTTCCATCCTGACGAGGGCTGATCAGTAAATCCTCAGCAATTCCAGAGGACCACTGGATCCAGCTGTAAAAACAAGCTGCACCTATGGATTTGTGCCACTCCCTGGCAGAGTTAGGGATATTAGGGATAGGTCTGCATTTTCCTGAAGGTTGCATTGGTGATGGTGAGCCGGGTCAGCCTGGCCCCGTAATAATCGATGATGTAACTGGAGCCGTCGGAAGGGCCAACGATCTGCAACGGAAAAAAAAGAACCGACTTTTCAGTATGAAGTGAAATATATACTTTGTGCTAATGTCTCAATTACTGCTAATTTTCCCATCATAAAATTAGTCATGCTTAATTAGTCAAACAGAAACTAGATTTATTTTGAAGTTATGCTGCAGTTTAACTGTTTTAGTGAGTGCTGTCTCAGAAGGAACATTTCCCCTGGGCTTCTAATCAACCAAATTACACAGCCAGGCACTGGGACTCGGCTAATCCGGTGAGGATTTGAGGCACAAAACCAGCCTAACAAATGAGTGGGCTCCAAACCACTTTTCCTGAACAAAGGAGGGTCGGCAGCAGAGAATTAGGCTAATGACAAGTGTCTTTGAAATACTGAACAGGTAAGGAATGAAGACAAGGAGGAAAGATCATGGAGCTTTTGTTCTGGAAGTGCTAAATTGATGTGGAATCACCAGGGAGATCAACAAGGAGAGATGAAAGATACTCTCAACTGGATCTGTAAGTGCTCTGAGGCAAGATCACTGCGACAGCAGAGAAGGAATTTGAGAATGCACACAAAAGACAGATACAAAGTGCACACTTTTAAAATATTTTCCTACAAACCCATAGAAACAACTCCCATATCCACAATGGATTTTGAGCTCATCATAGCCGATTTGCAATTCATGCTAAATGGCTGCGCTGTTGAATAAAACAATTTGGCAATTTCATGATGTCACAAGATGTCACTCCAGCTGGGGATTTAACCCTCCTGAATCCCTCAGTCACAGCTCTCAGCTGATGTGGGACTTGAATTTGGAAAATGGAAGTGGCAATGTCTTCTTTCTTCAGCAGAAAGCACAGGCACACACAGAACTTGAGGATTCTGGGAACACCAGGACATCCCATGCAGAGTCCAGCACTGCCTTATGTAAAGGGATTCTGACCACCTGAATTTTATGGTGCTATAGCTTCCAAGCTATTCATTGTAAGTATTTATAGATGGCTAATCTAAGTTATAATTCCAACAGCAAATATATTGATATTTTGTGTCTATATTCTACAACATCTGTCTACAAACAGAGCCAAAATAAATGCCTTGATTTTTCAATATCCAATGGTTCTTAAGGCCAAAATGTTAACAAAGTGTTAGTAATCTAATCAAAGCTTTAAAAAACACAGATTTGCATCTTGTTTTGAAAGCCTGACTTACCTGCATTGAAATAAGTATGAAATCAATTAGGCTCCCAATTCCACAAAACCCTACAGTGCAGAACTTTAACAAACCTAAAAAAAGAAAAGTAAAATTTAATGCAGCTTTAAGCAATCCCTGGGATTTCATCACTGGTGGCAATCACATCCAAACTCTCCCCTCATCCCACAAAATATGTGTGTTTATATATATATATATACACATCTGTCTAGAAGCAGACCTGAAGTTAAACTTCTTTAATTATTAGGGAAAAAAACAAACCACATATTCATATTTCTACATCCTGAATGCACTATAAAGATTTTAAATATTAACAATTTTTTTTAACATCTAAATATTCTTAAGGAAAGGCAAAAGTTGCTAATCAGGTTACTGAAATGTTCCTTTCACTGAGGCACAGACAGAAAAATCCCAACTTGAACTGCAAAATTTACTTATGAATAGAAAAAGATCTTCTACCACTTCACGAGTTGCAGCACATAGTGATTTGATTTTCAGAACATGCAACTTTGGAAAACAATCCTTTGTATAATTTTTATACTCTTGCTGAAATATTAATTTCTTTTGAATATATAGAAAAATATATATAATACTTCTTTTTAACTGGTATTCAAAAATGTTGTTTTTTATACAAATAAATGAAAGATTAATGGAAAATATATGGGAATAACAACTGACAGATGAACGTTTTATTGGAAGCTGTCCTGCAAGGCAGACTTCATTTGGAAAATGCCTTCAGAAAAAAGAGGCTGCCTTAAAATTTCTATTTTTTTTAATATCAACAGTTTCTTGTACAATGAATGTAATCCAGAGAGAACTACATGTATTATGAGTATTATTTCAGGGAGAGATTTTGGTTCATCCCCCTTCTCCAATACACCATGACCCACAAAGCACCTCCTATCCCCCAGGGCTGTTCATGGGGCTGCATTTGGGGCAGAGGAGAGGAGGAACTGCAACCACTCTGCAGGAAGAGCATCCCACTGCCTGGATTTGTCTCTCATGGAAGAAAAGTCCATGTGCACCCTTCCCTGTGAGGCCCTGGCACAGGGTGCCCAGAGAAGCTGTGGCTGCCCCTGGATCCCTGGAAGCGCCCAGGTTGGATGGAGCTCTGCACAACCTAATCCAGTGAAGATGTCCCTGCCCATGGAACATTCCAGCTGGGATTTTAGGAACCCAGCAGATTTCTTACCACTGCAGAAGCTCCACTTTACTTAAGGAACTGGATAGAGGAGAACTGTTTCTGAACCTGGCATTTATTTCTGGAGTGCAGGGTAAAGTTGGTTTTTTTCTTCCTCCTCACTTCCCTCCCTACAAGCAGATCACACTGAGAAAATAAACTGCTCTAAAGCACAGAGGGAAAAAATAGTGTTGTTCTACAGTAATAACTCCTGGTTTGGTTCACAGTGTGTGGGAGAGGAAGAGGTTGCCTTCCTGATTTCTTTATACTCAATAGCTTGTTTGTATTTGTGTGCTCTTTAAACAAAAGAGAAGGGAAAAAAATAAACCAAAGAGCATTTACAGTCTTCATTACACTTGCATAAAAGATTTCAATGCTATTAACCTTTCTTAACCACTTTTTGCCAAGGCAGAGATGACCTAAGAAATCCCTAATCAGCCACTGTGAAGTAATCCAATGGGTTGATTTTTAGTCTTTTCTACTCTTACCTATTTGCTTTTGCCTTCTTTACCTTTCAAAAGATTGAGAATTTGGCTTTGGAAGAGTTTAATTTTAAATATTAATTTGGCTACAGGCTACAGTATAATCCAGTAGGGTTAAAGCATTAGCCATAAAGAACTTCTACAAAAGAATTAAGGATTTACGAATCTATATTGCCCAAATATAGTAAAAAAAAAAAATTACCGCAAATTATTATTCCAAATCCAGTGGTACAACTAAATAATGCACCTTATTGACTGCTTTCAAAAATGTAAAAAATGTATCTTTCTGTGACACAGATGGACAAAGTAAATGCTAATTATAAAATCTCAGGGATAAAAGACATGGATGCTAATCAAGATTATAGAGAAGGGACAGATAATGTCATTAAAAAGAGTTGGCATTTAATGGGCAGAAACTCAAAATTTCTGGCTGAAGTGACAGCAACACATACAGCTTTTTCCACATCACTGCTCCATCCTATCTATACTTAAATTCACTCCCTTTGTCCAGCTCAGAAACAAGGCCAGTGAAAGCAGTTCTGTCATAAGAAGGTATTTCCATTACTTAAAAGCCAGTGGCACCATCATCCTGGGAATGAGGTCCTAAAAACCAGAGAGAGGTTTTATTAGAAGTCCCAGCTTCTGCAGAATTGTTATTATTACTATGAGTTATCCTGAAGGTGTGCATTTGCCAGAATAAATTCCATCTCTCAAAACACCAGGTTTACTGTAAAATTTGTTCACTTTTTTCCTGATGAAGTCAAGTCTCATTTAAGGCTGGCACGTGAGGCAAAGGCACTTCTGCTCCAGTGCCTCACAAAAAATGCTGTGGTACAACATCAATGCAAAGCAAAACTTTTGAATAGCAATAACTATGTTTGCTTATTAGGATTTTATCTACTGGACACTACATCTCCATTTGTCACCACTCCAACAGAAGAGCAGGCTGAGGATAATGCAGCATTTTATCTCACTTGACCATGAAGTAAGGATTATAGTTTTAAATATTAAAACTGTGACTGTCAGCCTTCATTACTCAAAATACGAGTATACACATACAAGTCAGTCAAAAGATTTACCTCAAAGAAAAAATTAAGGCATAACCTTACCTAATGCAGGATATCCTAGATAAAATCTATCTGCTCCCAGCCATCCAAGAAATAAGGACAGAGCAACTGCCACTTTGTAGGAGTATCCATTTCTGCCAAAAGAAACAAGCAATGTAGATAATGACTGCAAAATATATCCACTCATACTTTTGACTGTTAAAGTAGTGACTCATTTTCCTGCTGCTCCAGTTTTAAAAAAACAACAGACTTGTTATTTATCTTCAATTAACGGCCACAGAATTCATAATGTTAAGCTTTGAAACTGGGAAGGCATCCTCCATAAAGGAACTTCAGCTGCTGCAACTCAAGTGTACTCTTGCAGAATACAGATTATTCTGAAACTAAATGATGATTTCTTGTCAAGACATAATTCAGTTGCTGATCCATCCCCAGCTTCACAGAGCACTTCCTAACAGTTCAGCCCTACTGAGACAAGCCCAGGAAGGCAGGAGGTGTGTGAATACTGTCTGCAGGCATTAGTCTCACACGCAGCCAAATGGAGAGGAACAGGCAGGTGAGATGTCAGCAGAGACAGTAATTGCCACGAGATCTGAAGGAGAAATGAACCATGGCCACTGGCTGAAGAAACTGCAGGAAGGATTCAACAAAAAGAGTAAGTCATGGATTCACTCATTACACTGTAAATGGCACAAAATCACAATGAAAAGAACTGTTGACAGTACAAAGATGCACAGGGGCAGAGAGGCGCTCTCAAGTTAAGCTTCCCATGGTTAGTCATACAAAATAAACAGACAGAACAGACTTTTTCAGATTTATCCTAATTGGAACCATTCTTGCCAACAGCTGGAGCGACGCAGCCACCAAACCACCTGTTAGTGCAGTCCCTGCTGGAGAACCTTGCACTAATAAGGGAGCTACAAACATATCGCTCTCAGTGCTGGAATTGCTGCCTCGGCGAACAGAGAGCTCCTGAACAGCAAACCCAAATGTAATTAGAACTAAAAAATATTCAATAATTCACTGTTTTGATACGTGCACTACTACATGCCAGCAATTATTTAATAGGCCCAAATTAAACTCTTGGTTGACTGTTGAATAAAACAGTCTCAAAAAGACAGTAGCTGACAAAAGTCCAAGCACTTTTATTAAGCATTTTCAATGCCAAGTAGAGAACTACCTTTTTTTGCTTATTATCTAAATTTACTGACTTTAAAACCTAATGGCAACATTAAATGATTAAACCATGACTCTTACCTCAGTGTTTCTTACTTGGTGTTTATTAGCAACACGGAACACACAGGGCATTCCTGGAACCTAATGTAACGTAAATTATCATCTTTAGAACTGTCTTGTTTCCACTGTAAAGAACACTAATGGGTTTATTTAAAACTTGAGGTAAACTGTTGGAAATTGTTTATCAACTACAAAGTGTCAACAGCCCTCCAAGGACACTAAAGCATAAAAAGAGCTGTTACATAAAAAATGGGAACACGGTTTAATTTTGCTCCTGATCACAACTAGTAATAAACTGAGCCCTTGCTTATGCACTGAGATGCTTCTGGAAGCACAACAGTTCCTGCAACTTCATCAACATCAAACTGACGGGCAGAAGAAATCCAGTATGAAGCATGAGAACACTGTAACAAACAAGGCTGCATCCACTCTGGTGTTTCCTTTGCCTTACTCCTTCAGATAAAAACATGCACAGAGTAAACCAGTGAGTAGGAAAATGACACATCCTAGGCATCTGAAGGAATTTCTACAGTTGGGTAAAAGATGCAATTTCTTGTCAGTTCCTCTTTTGTTTTTCTCTTGCTCCTCAGCCTCATCCAACCTATATTTTTTCTGTATGCATTTCTTCCAGCTGCCATGGTACAAACTTTTCCTCCCACCTCTTCCACAGCAGTTGACAAGAGCAGGTGCTGCTGTAGGTTGCTCTTTCAGGGTCACTTGGCTCTGCTCAAAGACCTGTCCACACTGAACCTCATGAATTTCACAGAGAATCATTCCATGGCCTTTTCCTCTGGAATGCAAACACTTGAAAATGGACATTTCAACTCTGCAGCATCAGGGCCTGCACATATTAAGCAAAATGTATGATAGATGCCAATCTGAGGGATTCTAGAATTTGGCAAAAAAATGAGATCTACCTCCGAAACATCAGATTAAAGCCAATCCTAAGCAATCTTGACTCCCAGTACTTCTTCGTTGGATCAAACTTACAAGCTTTCCCTTGAATTATTACTAGGGTAACTGAACTTGAACACATCCACTCACACAAACATGTAACATCTCCTGGTCTTGCTCTAAAATAACCAGATCCCAGAACTTAGCCAAAACTAAATTGCAGTTTTGGCTAAGGACAACTTGCTGATTTGTCCTTCACAAAAGCTGGGGATAAAGATTGGGACTATGCTGGGACTATCCTACCATGGGAAGATGCCTTTTCAAAATAATTTTCTTGCTAAATGATGTTATGTGCTGTTATTTCTATAGTTACAGTTTCTACCAAAACTCAGTACAATGCTGGAAAATCTCCAAAAAGCAGTAGAAAAGGCAAGGCTATTGTTGTAATAATAAGCTGGAGACTCCTGCTTAAAACAGTATTTCTTACACTTAGGTAACATTCAAAGTGCCTCATAAAAGGTCTATCAGTGACTGGACCACTTTTTAAATAAGTGTACAGATGAAGGATGGTGATATTAATCTTGCTGCCATTTTTTACTGGTTTTAAGATATTATGAAGGACATGCTTGTGTAACTCTATCTACATTCACAGTTGTATTTTATTGGAATTTTCAGTGCAAAAAAGGGCTCTTTTCTCTTTCAGCCATACCAGCAGTTGTGGGGCTGGAAAAATCAGAGCAAGTTCTTTTGGCAGTGTAACCATTGATGATTCATTATAAATAACAGTCATGATCAAGTAACAGATACTGTAAGAAGGATGATATTTCTCTACCTACAGAGCTGGATTTTAATAAATAAATGTAAAGAAAAGCTACCTTTAAAAGGTGTTTGTAGAAAATATACTAAAACAAAAATACATTTATACCAAAAAACCTCCAAACACAAGAATTACCATCTAATCTAAAGAGGAAGCAATTTCATTAAAATAGTATAGCTCATCTTCTCCTCAGCCCCCATCACAGATGGGACTGAAACACAATTGTTTCTGGACAAAAATGTGACTGACGTCTACTTTGCTGGCATTTTAATTTGATTAGATGTAATAATATGTTTTCTTCGGTTTGCTGAGCTTTTACTGCTGAGAAGACTAAATACAGAGAAAATATTTATGAAACTAAGAGGCAGAGCTGTACTTCTGAGTTAGGCAAATTACTGAGCAGCAAGTAGCACATCAGAGTTATCTGCCCACTAGAGTGATAGGGAGTAGCCAGTGTTACTGGAGTTTTTATTTCCAAAGATTCCAGTAGGACAAAAGAGAAAGGTTCCAGTGTGAATCCCAGAAAAAGAGGAAACAAATGGTAGTGACAGGTGCTGGCTGAACATTAGCACTGGCCAGTTGGAACATTTATTGGTATCCAGAGCTCTCCATCACTCACAATGTGCTTTAGAAAAATGAGGTCCATCACTCATGTACCAAAAACAGGCTCTTAAAAGACACAGTGGGTTGGATTAAACAGAAAAGTTGCTTCAAAATAGAGAACAGTTTCTCTTACAGATTTTGGGGGCAACTGCAGAGATCCTGAAGCTACCCTAAAATTCATGCATAATAGAACTTCAGCTGCAGCTTTAAACTGGCATGAAGCACTGAGCAGCACAGCCCTGTCCAGCCCTCCTTTGTCCTCTCTGTTTTATCCTTGAGTCACCCTCATCCCTGCACTGGCACAAGCACTTGAAGCCACTGTACTGTGACTCAAAGTGGGGAACTGATCCAAGGCAGCTCCAACCCAGGGCAGCTCCCTGATGTCCTGGGGTCTGTCAGGGAAGGGGATGGAGGGTGTCCCCAACAGCTCCTTGCAGCAACTGTGCTGATTTTAAGCACATGTGAAATGTGGCCTCAGCATTTGCAGCAAATTTTTGCCAAGCATAAGTATGAAGCAAAGGTAAAGGAATAAGGTTAAGCAAAGAAACAAACATAACTAACAACAAAAAAAAATGTACAGACAGACAGATGTCCCTACAAACATGCACATTTAGAGCAACTTGGTCTAGTGGAAGGGGTCCCTGGCCATGGCAAGGGGATGGAATGAAACCAACCCAACCCTTGCCATGACCCTGTGTTGTATCCTTTAGTGTTTATTAGAGGATTAACTACAGGGCAAAATGTGCATGGTTCTGTTTTACTTCTATTTTCCTTCTGCCAACACATCATACAATTTTGGACAAACTTCAGGTTTTCAAAACCAAAGAGTACTCACACATTGCGACACTCAATGGGCTTGTAAAATCCAACTTCATGTCCCGTGAAGACTTTCTCTATGCCAAGGTGATCTTTGCAAGTAATATTTGGTGCTGGAAGACATTGAACTGAGGACAAAAAATTATTTGATATTAAGTGGTAACTGACACTCAGAGCAGTTTTCTAACAACACAAGTGAAACAAATTAAGTTCTACTGTGCAACGGTCTTGATACAAAGCACAGTTTACACACAATTACTTGTTTAAAAATAGTCTTTAAGCCAGTCCTGTAGTTTTTCCTTGCTACATTTTAAGCAAAATATACAAACTTAATTGCTGCCCCAATTCTGTTGTAATTTCCACTCTGGCTTCAGTATGAGTCAATGAGAAATCTGAAGCTGACATAGAGAGAACATTTTCATCATGAGAACAGTCAAATATTGGAACAAGTTGCCCAGAGAAGTCATGCCATCACCATCCCTGGAGGTTTTCAAGGTCTGACTGCACAAAGCCCTGAGCAACCTGGTTGGAATTCTGTGCCAACACTGCTTTAAGCAGGAGGTTGGACTATGCAACTTCCTGAGGGGTCTTTCTACCCAAATTATTCCATTATTCTTGACTCTTCCGAGAATCAAAGCGGAAATCACAGCTGAAAGTCACACCTGCTCAAGTTTGCAATATATTACCAGAATATTAGTCACTCTCCAATGCTGTAGTATGCTGTTTTAAAAGGAAAAAATTCAGTCCTTTACCCACTTTCTATCAGCTTTCAGTACTTGTGAGTCCTGTTGGTTAATTCCAACAAAACTGCAAGCCAGGTTTAACATTCTTTCCAGATTTTCCAGTAATGCAAACAGGCAAGAAAGGGATTTTTTAAATGTCTACCCATATTGTATATGAATAAAAAATAAAATAAGATTTGAGTTATGTGTGGACTTAATTGCTATAAAATCTTACATGGATTTTATACCCCATCCCTGGAAGTGTCCAAGGCCAGGCTGGACAGGGCTGGGAGCAGCCTGGATAGTGAAAGGTGTCCCTGCCCATGGCAGGGATGGCACTGGATGAGGTTCAAGGTCCCTTCCAACCCAAACTGTTCTGTGATTCCATGATTTTAAAACAGGGTGCACACAAAGAGAACTTGCTGTGCTATCAAACACAGACCATTTATTTCAATGCTTGAGAACATCAAACAAGTTAAGCACAGGTAGGAAACTAAGTAATCAATTTAAAAATTTTTCTTTTGTACTCTTAAGTATGTCAGAACTGAACATCAAATAAATGTGTTTTCAAAATAGAGCCTCATGCACCAAAACCTGGTGATGATGGAAGGCACTATGTTGCCTTAAGAAAAAAAACTTAAAAATTAAAAGATTTTGAAGGCTGTTCTGTCGCATGTCAATTTTTTTAATAATTATATGCAAAATCAGTATGACAGGAATGGTTTGTTTTAATCACAGTAGTGCAGGACAGAGCCTAAAGGGTGTAACATACATTGAAGAGATTTACCAGAAACCTCACTTACAAAAGTACCAATCAGAGACAGTGTATTTATTCATTTTTAGTAAAGCACCCAATCCACACAAGTGTTTTGGGTTTTCAGACTAATAATATTACTAATCCCATCTTTTATAAAGCTCATCAAGTAGATACACAAATGTGTAAATTGAACACTTCCTTGAAAAAACGTAGTTAATCAACATATAAGTTAAAAATCCTTACCATATGCTGTGTGATTTGTGCAATTCATTGGTTCTTGTGTGCTATTGTCTATTTTAGGCTCATCACACATATATGTTCAGGTAATTGAGGAAAACAGTTTTCATATCAAACACTACAACAGGTTTAACAGTAATTTATTCCACCCTCCTTAAACCCTGAGGATTTAAGATGCACCCTGATGTTGGTGCCTACCCATCCCCCAAAAGAGGAGCAGCACATTACCATGCAGCAAATCTGCTAATCCAATTTAATACACCAATATATCGCATAAGCCCCACATTTAATTAGTGCTGCAGTCAGCACTACCTAAAGGAACTACAATATTTATCAGTCACAGCCTCTGTATTTGGAGGCAACAAGGTAGCACATGCCTCATCTGGTCTTGTTCCCTTATTTAAATACCACAGTGCCTTGAAATGCAGGCATTTGGTTGAGAAAATTTAATCTTTGGGAACACACAAAATTCAACACATAAAAATGAGCATCTGAAACGCCAGGAATATGGTGCAGGAACAAACTGAGCAGGAACTGACTTCCAGAGGTCTCAACTCCCACAGCCAAGTAAAGCAGGAGATGAAGCAAGCTTTTCCAAGATTTGCTTTCCTGACACTTTTGATCATCAAAAACTGTCAGCTGCCATCAACCAACATGTTCTGGGGAGGGCAAGAGGTACCTTGGAGAGCCAGGAGCCTCACACCTCCTGCTCCTCAGAGCTGTGTAGGGCACAGAAACATGTTATTTCCTGATAAAATGTCAAAGTCTCCACATCTCGCAAATAATAGATAAGGTGGAGTGATGGCAGAGCAGGCTCTCTCATCCCATGGCAATCTCTTTGAAGAACACCCCAAGCATGCGCTGGGGCACACACAGTACCGCCAGAAATCACAAAATTAATTAGGTTGGAAAAGCCCTCTGAGACCATCGAGTCCAACCTGTGATTGATGCCCACCTTGTCACCCAGATCAGAGCACTGAGTGCCACAGCCAGCCGTTCTTTGAACCCCTCCAGGGATGGGGACTCCACCACATCCCTGGGAAGCCCCTTCCAATGTCTAATCACCCTTTTTGTGAAGAAATTCCTCCTCATGCCCAACCTGAACATCCCCCAGTGCAGCTTGAGGCCGTGTCCTCAATTCCCGCACCCCGAGGAGCCCTGTCCCGCTCCTGCCAGCCGAGACCTCCTCGGGGCTCCGAACCTGAGGCTTTCCACGAACCCCCCGCCCTGCCCGCCACCTCACGGTCCCCACCGCCCCTTCCCCTCCCCATAAGCGGTGCCCCCCCCCCTCACACCGGGCCCATCGCCACAACAACCAGCCCCGATCCGACCCCGGCCCCGCTCAGGATATTGCCCCAGCCGCAGCTCCTCGCATTTGAGCGGCGGCTCCGAGCCCGCTGCTCCCTCCAGGGCCGCAAACCAGAGGAGAAGCAGGACCAGCACCTCAGCCGCGCCGCTCCGGGCGGCCATGACGGGACCGCCGCCGCCGTCAGCTGACCTGGGGAGGAGCGGAGCGGCCCCGCCGCGGGGAGAGCCCGCTCTGGCTGCAGGAAAAAACGGATGGGGGATGCCGAGATGTTCGTGACTTGCTAAGGGTACGGGTTAGGCTTTTTGAGGGGCTTAAGGGTTTTTTTTTTTTGGGGGGGGGGGGACCTCATTAAATATGGCGGGCGAGGCCGCGCTGAGGGCAGAGCGCGCCCTCACTCAAGATGGCGCTCGCAGGGCCCGGCGTTGAGACGGGCGGGGGAGCGCCCTGAGTAAACATGGCCGCCGCCAGCGGCCCCCGCGCTTGCCCGCACTTAAGATGTCGGGTGTGAGGGCCCGTGGCCCCGGGCGGTGTGGGGACGGAGGGGGACCCGTGAGGAGCTCCGAGGCGGCTCTCGCAGCGGGGCTGGGGCCGCTCCGGGTGCTGGCACCGCGGGCAGGACTCACCCTGAACCGAGCGGCGGGGCCGGGTGAAGGGGGAACGTGAGGTGAACTCTCCCCGCTCTTCCAAACACCCACCCTTGTAGCATTGGCCCAGCCGGCGAAGTGGCTCCTCTGGGTGTCCCCGCTGGTGTCTGGAGTTTGCTGGGTACTTGAAACATGCGTTGAAAAAGCCCAGCAGAAGTTAAAGGCGTGACCTCCCAAACCTGGTTAACCCAGACTGGCGCATCCCCTGTCATCCAGTGGGGCCTGATGTGCTGATACTATATCTAGCACACCCACAACAGTCTGATTAAATAAATAATTTTATATTCTTACCCTATTTTCGCGTAAAATTGCATTTTTTAAAATGCTCTTTATTTCAATTTTTAAATGAATACTGAATTCCCGGAGCAAGCAAGCTTTTCATCAGCATTTTCTCTTCACAAGGTGTTCTGTGATGATTACAAACTTTTCCCTATTCTCACTACCATGACAGTTATTGTTTTTCTATTGTGATTATATCAGGTTTCTCTAGTGTTTGAAGGCATCAGTTTTTCACTTATGGACTACTAAGGGATCCTGGAGTGTTTACAGGAGATGGAGAGGTCCTTTGGATTAAACTCACCTAGGAAAGATATCACCGCTGTCCCAAGTTTGCATCTGCCCTTGGGTTTTTTTGAGTATTTCCTGAAAAACAAGTAGGGACCTAAAAACTGTCAAACTGAACCTAAAAGGCTGTAAAAGAAACTCTGAAATAGTACCAAGGAGAAGATCATTGCTACCCATCCCTTCTGGAAGTCTTTTGGGTTTTGTATTTTGGTGAGTGGTGACTTGTCTGGAGCCTGTCAGTACCAAAGAAGGGTTTGTCCCAGCCCCAGATATTCCAAGAATCCGTGGAAACGTGGATTTAAAACGTGTGGATGGCTGACAAAGAGCTCAGCCAGCGATGTGAAATATTGCCATCTAACAGCTTTTTGGGAGATTTTGCGTAAACTGAATTGGCAGCCTGGAGTTCAGCAGGCAAAGTATGCAAATGAAAATTGATACTCCTCTCAGCAACTTGAAGCGAAAGGGCAGGGCCAGAGTGCGCTCCGGGATGAACTCAGCCCTCGGAGATGGAGAAGGAGGTGCACTGATGGGAAAAGTGCCCGGCTCTTCTGTCTGCAGCACATCCCTCGCATGGATAAATACACCACTCGCTGTTCATCACTGTCAGGAAAATTGTCACTTCTCACAAGCGCCACATTAATTAAAACTGAGAGTAAGGGCTGGGAAGCTGAGTGTTCGGAATCCTTTGGAAGGGGGATGGAGTGGTGTGTTCTTAGCGTGTCGTGCGCTCTGGTGCAACTGCTGCCGCTCAGTGAAACGAAACGGGTGCCAGAACGAGGGGAAATCAATCTGAACTCATGAGAAATTGATTTCCAAACCTCTTGGAGCCCTTACCCTGTGCAACCAATGGGGCCGTGTAAGGTCAGCAGACGGGCTTGTGAAACTGTGTAGCAGAATAAAAGAAGTTGTATTTATCGACTTTAATTCGACTATTTTATGTGTGTATGAATATAATTTTAGGAAGTCAGAAAGCAGACTACTGTACAGGTTTAAGAAAGCATACACAGTTCACACAATTAATTTCAACTAAAATGGCACCTGTTCTCTATTTTGGGACTAGCAGGAGGAAAATTTTGTTTTTATTGCCGTCCTGGACAATGTTCTGCATCTTGGAAGCCACAGTGACGTGGTGTGTTTTGGGGCACTGTGGGGGAAGTCTTGCATCCGAGTTTGCCCATGTTTTTTTTGCCATTCCCTTTTGTGAAGTGGTGGGGGCTGTGCTGCTGAGGCTGAGCAGAGCATATCATTATAAAAAATATTATTCTAAAAATATTATTATACACACATCACCCGAGGATCTACACCCCTGTGTCCAAAGGAAACCGAGCCCTCACACCAAGCCGGTTATACGTGCCCCTCCGTAGGGAATTCAAAACATAGAATCACAGAGCATCATTGAGTCTGGACACCGATGTGCCGCAAATAAGTGGAAAAAATAAGCCTTTCTACAATATTTGCACAAGCGGTTTGCCTTCAGTGGGGAGGCTGGAGGCCACAGGACCGATCCAAACTGTGTCAGGCTGGCGGGTCAGGCTCACCTGGAAATTGACTAAAAAGTTGAATTGGGCTGTGAAACGCGAGCCCTGCACTTCCCGCGGCGGCCAGAGCCCGTGTCCCGCCGCAGCGCTGCCCCGCGGAGCCGGGAGGGGCCGAGGCCCGGCCGTCCCTCGGGAGGCGGCTCTCCTGCCGCGCCGCCCCGGCTTCCTGCGCCGCAGGTGAGCCGGGATCGCCCCTCGCTTCCCGCTTCCGCCCAGGTGAGCGCCGCCGGCCATCCCGCCGCTCCCCGCATCCCGCCGCTCCCCGCATCCCGCACCCCGCCCCCGGCAGCCCCGCCGCCGCCTCCCGCCCGCAGGTACCGCGAGCGCCCCGGGAATGGCACGGATGGGGTGGGATGGAGTGGGATGAGATAGGAGGGGGGCACGGACAGTCGGCTCTGCTGCAGGAGTGAATTCCCCTTCGGACACGGCGGTGTGGATCATCGGGTGAAATGTTTGCGTAAATATCTAAAGGGGGTAAAAGCCTGTGTTTATCTGTGACAAGTATTCCAGCCTGCCAAGAGGATGGAGCTGGGCTCTGGCAGGTGGTGCCAAGCCATAGTACAGGAGGCAGTGGGTAGAAACTGATGCCCAGGAAGTTCCGCCTGAATGTGAGGATGAACCTATTTCCTGTGTAGGTGGAGACCACTGGAACTGATTGTCCAGATAGAGTGTGAAGTCTCCCTCACGGGAGGACATTCCAGAACCATCTGGACTCAATCCTGCACCTTGTGCTTGAGCAGGGAGGTTGGACCAGATGACCCAACTGTGGTTCCTTCCAATCTGACCCATCCTGGAATTCTCTAAGGGTTCCCAGCCATCTCCTGCTTCCAGAGCCAGACCTGTGAACAGCAGCTTGATCAGTCTAGCCATGGCCAGGATACCAGCCTGCACTCATCCAGACACCCCCATGTGAAAGCCCTTCTGGGCCCAGGGACCTCGACAAGTCCCTGACACCCCAGTAATGCAGGGCAGGGCTGTGTGACTCCTGACGGCAGCTGAAGGCTCTCCGTGGCACTGAAGTCATCCTGGTGTTGTGCAAACAGTTTCCATTGCTCGGAGAGTCTGTCTCAGGATGAGGAGAGGAGGGAAGTAACACACCTGTTGCAACACTTCCCATCAAGTGCCTGTCAGTCCAGAGATTCTTAGCAGAGCAGGTTTTTACTTTGTTTACAGGTGGTTAATGGGAAAACAGTTCTTCCGCATTCCTTTTTAATTTCTGACCTTTGGAAGTTCAGCATGGTTCCAGGCCCTAAGAGCTCTGTTCCCCATGAAGTGATTTGTTAGTTGTGTACACTGTCATTAAAGTACCTAGGATTTATTGAGAATGACAATATTTAGATATTGGAAATGAGTTTTCCATGAGAACAGGTTTTTGAGACCATGTTTTTTGCTTCATGGAGAGCAGCTTTGGCATGAGTTCTAGCTCCTATTAGACAACAGAGAACCCACACTGGCACTTCCCTAGAGGCTGAAATCCATATGAATTCAGGTTCTGCTTGTTAAATTTACCATGCCTGGAGAGTGAGTAAGGCTCCTCTTGATCTGCATTGACACTGGTGATCACAGGCGCAGAGTGCTGTGTTTTCTTCACTTTCCTCCTCCTGCAGTCACTAAAAGTGTGTAAAAATCAGCCTGCCCATGCAGTATTTTTTTTATTTTTAACAATATTTAGCTGTGACCCATTGCACCTTGGAGATGTGTGCTGTATCTGTGTTCAGGTACTCACAGAAGTATTTTTTTCCTTCTTTCAAGTGCCTGGAGCAATTGGTGCGTACTCGACAGCATTTTTGTAAATCCTGCAGCATTGCACAGAGCAGAGGTGGTTTCAGAGGAAAGGTGTGTATGTGCTATGCTTGGTCTGAATGAATTTTTCTGTACATTATCGGTAAAAGTGAGTATAACATGTAGGACAGCAAAATACATGTTAGAAGAGTGGTTTTTTCACAGTATAGGTTCGCTTGATGGCATGTAAACTATAAAATATTGAATAGCTGAAGTACAGCTGATGGCATGTTAGGACAATTTAGGATTAAGATCATGCTAACAAATACTGTTTTTCCTTGCTTTTGCTTTTATCAACTTTTAAACTGAAATTTTTCGAGTCAGAGGTCTCTGTGATGAGGAGGACGATATGCACCATATTAGTCCCTCATGATAACAGGGCCAGGAAAAATTCCAACTGCATTAGTGCAGAAAGGTGACTTTGGATCGGGATGAGCCCGTTGGCTGTTCCTGTGGCAGGCTGCTGAGGCTGGTTGTGTTAGAAGCCTTAGAGAAATAGCAGCAGTTAGTTAGCACTTGTGGGTTTTAATATCCCCAAAAGTTCCATCCAGACTGAATGGGGAGAACATCCCACAAGACCAGACTTTTCCTGAAGGGATACAGTTTGTTGGAAACCTCACTAAAGGACATGGGGCAAAGACATTTGTGGATGGGTGGGGAAAAATGGGTAGAATAATCTCTGCTGGCTGAACGGTGTCCTCTTCCAGACCCCAGCAGCAAAGCTCTCAATTTCCACCTTCCAGCAGCCCTTTGTGGAGGGCAGGTGTTTGTCAAGGCTGCTGATGGGATGCTGTGTTCCTCTCTGGTGCTGGGATGTGCTGGGGCTCAGCACTCCGTGTCTCCGGGCAAGTGGCAGGCATCTGTCAGGGGGGTGATGGCAATGGAAGACTTAAACCTTTCAGCTCTTCTGATGACCCTCTGCTGGCACCAGCATGGGGGAATTCCTTTTTCGCTTATGCTGCTTTTGAAGAAGATCCAAGTCTTGGGATTTCGTACAAAATCTTCTGAAGCTTTCTCACTCCCTTGGATGTGTTGAGTTCAGCTCCCAGAAGTGAAGACAGTGGAACCCCAGATGGATGCTATCCTGGGGTTACAAAACACTCAACCTTCTGAAATTCATCATTTCCTTGATGGTTTTATGGTTACATTGGAAGTTGTGACATAAGTGTTGAACTGAGGTTTCCAATAAGATAAATAAATGCCTACAGAAGTTGGAGACTGGAGCTAAGGAAGCGGGATGTGGTGTGCATGAACTGATTTTAACAGGATAAACCAAAGTGTTTTGGATCATTCTTCAAAATTAACACCCAGAAATGGAGTTTCTAATTTATCAACTGTTTGCTGACACTGCCTGGATTTAGAGTGTGTTTGGAAAATGTTTAATGATAAACTGTTTGGGGACTTAAACATAGAGATCAATAATACATAGAGTTGTGAGTTTCTCTGGTGCCCAAAAGCCAGTCTTAGAGACCTGTCCTCAATTATCCATGACTTGAAAACTGTAAATTAGTTTATATTTTCAAGGATCCCTTCACACCAGAAAGAGCTGTTTGCTTGAATTCCACCCCCACCCCCTCCCCTTTATGGAAGAAAGGAGAATAAAAAAATACTTGGTGTGGTTTTAACATATTGCACAAAAAAAAAAAAAACAACAAACCAACAAACTAAAAAGCATTGCAAGCTGTCTGGAGGCCAGCTCTGATCACGAGGAACCCCAGAGTGATGTGTAAATTTGAACTGTTATTCAGCCACCTGCAATCCACTTGGGCTTCCACTGGCACAAGTGGCCTGCAGTGACTCTTAGGAACACTTGGAGCAGCTCAAGCAAGAAGCTGAAACTTTCTTTAATCTTTTTTTTTCTCCTGTTTTGTGCCTCTTTCTCCAGGGAGCTTCTGCCCTGATGGAGCCAAGATCTCTTACCTATAATTCTTCTCCTTAAATTTAAATCTCCAATTTTCTCGGGTCAGTCCCTGTTGCCATAATTGCTGTTGTTACAGCCTCAGCAAAGGAAAGAAGATTAATTTTGGGGATGGTTAGCTCAGCACTTGGAGGCTGTTTTGGGTTGGGGATGGGTGTTTCTGGTGGTGCAGTTTGGTCCTGCTGTGAGGTGTGGACACGTCACCCCCATCCCCTCTTGTCCCCCTCCTGCCAGTGCTGGCAGCTCGGAGCTGACTGGGCACAAAGCTCACCCCACCAAAACGTGATGGATTCTTTCTGAGTAATTAGCTCCCTGTTCCAGCTCACTGTGGAATCAGCTGAATGGAAAATGGAAAGGGAAGAATAAATGCATGAAAGTGGGCTGGGGAGCTGGACCAGCCTCTTGGCTGTGGCTCTTGGGTGGGCATGGTGCTGTCCAGTCGTCATTATTTCCTGCCATGCTGGATTTCTTCTCTGGGTTTAATCTTTTCCTCACCCTACTGCTCCTTTAAAGGTGTTTCAAGCCACTTTACCTCACAGGAGTTCTCATTTTGGTTCACTTGCTTTCCTCCTTTCACTGCTGATGTGAGGTAGAAAAACAGAGGAAGAAAGTTAATGGGGAGAAGTTAAACCAGGAAGAAAGAACAAATTTCCATATTCTTTGTCCTGATTTGTTAAGGTTCATGCCGTATTTTCAGTTGAGGAGGTTAAGTTTTGTCTTTTGGGTTTAATGAAGACTCAGGAGTGTGTAAGGAAATGGTGTTTTCATCTGCTCTTCAGAATCAGCTCTCAGCACAGAATCAAAGGCTGCTGTGCTCTTAGAAGTGTTTCACTTCAAATGGAAAAGAAAATAAAGCTGCAGCACTTCCAAAGTTCAGATGCATTCCTGAAAATCTTTCAGGGGGTTGTATGGGTTTGCTGCTTCAACTCCTGCTACAAGTTTGATTTAAAATGACCTCCTAAGTCTGTTAGGAGTCTTGCAAAGCGACTCATTTTGTCTGGCCCTGAGTGGAAGTCACACAAACCCACCGAGTTCTGCAGGAATTCCTGCAGGAGCCAAAGCTCCTCAGATATGCACAGCAAAGGGTGCATAAATCTGCAATTGTGGTTTGTGACATGCCTCCATCCTCTTCTTTTTTCCAGTTAGGTAAATCAGCCTGACTCTGCAGGAGAAGGGAAGCTACTCACCTGCTTAATTAATATTTTGGTGAATAGAACAATGTCCTCCCCAAATTCCAGGTGTTTTCAGTGTGAGCAGAGACAGCATCAGAGGCAGAGCTGAAAGGATCAGAGGTCCTGGTGGGAGAGAGCCCCTGGAATGTGCCTACCCTGCTGTAACATTCACCATATGACCCTTCCCCTCTTGAATTGCAAGACTAAAAAATAAATAAAAAGCTTTTATATAGAGAGAGGGATATGGCTTAGTCTTGTTCCAAAGTAATTCCAAATATATTATTCTGAAATTACACACTTATATACTGGATAGAATTAAAATTATGTCAATTGTGCTGTTAAATGGCTGACTTCTTTCAGAGGAGCTTGTAGTAAGTGAAGGAATCTTGTTTGGTAGAGCTGCCTTGATAGATTTCAGAATGACAGGCTCCACATCAACTTAATAACATGCAAGCAAGGGTACAAATTTATCATCTTTGCTAATTGCAAGTCTGTTGTTTTTATACTGCCATCTAGGCCTCAGCCCCTGTTGGAGACCAGTTCTATTTGGCGTATTTGTGAAGGAGCTGGATAAAGGATATTCCACTCCTTAAAAGATTAATAAAGGATATTTTGATGTTCATGTACATAGAAAAGAGAAAGGCAAACGCCTGCAGGAGAACAAGCTTCCTTCACCTGTTGTAAATCAGGCTGTGATTAGAACAGACTTTCCTCAGGAACGTGTTGGAATAGGGATTAATATGCCCAATTTTGGGTTTTAATTCTGTGCTGTCCCATGAGCGGACGAAACTTCATTGTTTTATGGGGAAACACAAAGTTTCACCTATATTGCCATCCAGCAGGGCTAAATTATCATGATAAGAATGCTATCTATAAATGATCAGGTGGAAAGCATCTTCTAAATAATAGGTAGATTTTAGCTCTGTGTGGATCTGTGGAGATCACAGCTTCAATGCCAATGTTCAAAATAATTTGGTTGAGCATATCTGTGTCTCAGTTTTCCTTTTCATTTTTTTTTTCATAACCTGTATTTTTATTCATATTTGGAAGAGTTGTTCATATTCCTTCCTGTGTCAAGAACTTTGTTAAATACTTGGGGTAAACAACTGGGATAGTAGTATTTTTTTTATTAAACTTGTTGCAGTTAGTATTAATGCATTTATCAAACGTCACTATTCTGTTTAGATCTATCATTTATTAATTTGATTTTTTTTTCTTTGAAACCTCAGCCAGGTTATCCTGAACAATTCCAAAAATACCCCCCAACATGCCCGAAAATCCAGCAGCAGGTATGTGGTCTGAAAATGATTCTTTTTGCTGAGCACTGAGCAAAGAAGCTCCATTTCTAACCTGGTCTCGTTTGTTTATTTCTGCAGATAAGCAGCAGGTGCTGCAGATCCTGGATCGGCTGCAGGCAAAACTGCAGGAGAAAAGGGATTCCCAACACCAGGAAAACCTGGCTGTCCTACAGAACACCCTCAGGAGCCCCTTGTTCAACCAGATTCTGACTCTCCAGCAATCCATCAAGCAGCTGAAGGAGCAAGTGAGTGTAAAATTACTGTTGTTGGTGTGATGATGACTCTGGGCGAGTGGAACTTGAATCAGGACGTGTAGGCGTGTGTTAACGAGGGCGCTCTCGTTAATAAGCTGTAACGTGGTGTTAGTGAGCGCTGGGCCTTTTTTTTCTTCTTCTGTGGAGCTGGTGTCTGCAGAGGCACTGCTGAAATGAGAAGTGGTTTTGCAACCAAGAGGTCATGGGGCAACGTGCTTTGAAAGGGATGCAGGAGAGGCAGGGTTGTGTTGGAAAAAAAACAGCTGCAAAAGACATCAGCTCCAGTGTTTGGAGTCCTGAACAGTGTTGGAACTGGGATCCTTTGTTTTTCACAGAAGCTGAGTGCTGTTTATCAGCTCACTGGCAGCATTTTTTCCTCCCTAAAAGACAGCATCACTTAGTTCCTGCTAATTTTTGCAAGAATGCTTAACCTGCTTTGGGAAGTAAGGTGTAGAAAACCCAGCCTGAAGACTTGCCAAACTCTGATGCAGCTGTACCCAAGTGAGTTTTAAAATGACTTGGCTTCAGCAGAGGCTGGAACTTGTGTGGTTTATATTGGTTTATACAGCCAAGTGACACTTGATTTTGTGGACATGGGTGTCCATGCCACAATTGCATGGACAGGTCTCACGCTGCAGTTAAATTAAAATCATCAGCAAACTTAAAACCAGGGACTGAGCAGCAGCAATCCCTGTCTCTGCTGTCACTGTGCCCAGCTGGAATTGCAGCAGGGTGGGTGCCAGGGAGACAAGGCTGTCCCTTGCCAGATGTATTGCAGGTGTTCCTGCCTGGCTGGCCTGGTGGTGGCTGTGCAATCCAAGGCTTGCATGCATGTCTGCAGGCTATTAAAAAATGTATGAAAATGCAAACGTATCTGTGACATAGTGGGGTTTGTGTTCAGAATGTTCAGAATTCTCATACCTAGAAAATTTAGGTTTTCTTGAAATTCTATTTAAGCATGGGCAACTTCATTCAGGATGGGATTTTCCACTTTATAATGTCACAGTAGGAATGCTTTTCATTTCTTCATTATCAGTGAGGACTAGAAGTGCAAGTTCTAGCAGTGATAACGTGTTCAGTGGCAGTTTGTACCCTAGGCTCTCTTTGGGGAGAGGATAATACAAACCAGGCCTCAAGCTCCTGAATGTCTCAAAATATTAGAACTTTTGTGCCAAAATTCTGTATAGGTTTCCCTAATAGTAGCAGCAGAGGTTGAAAGCCTCTTTAATGTTTGGTGCTTTAGCATGTGTTGTTTCTGAAATAGCAGGGTGAAAAGAGGATAAGGGGCATGGGCAGGGAAGAAGCATGAAAGAAACAGAGAAAAAAATGTGAAAACACGGCTGAAACATTCAGGGAGCTCTTGAAAAATAGTTTAAATTTGATATGGTAGCTTGGTTATAGATTATGTATTAACACTGCCTGATTTATACAGGTGAGTATATTTGTGTGAATGGGTATCTATGAACACAGGTATTTTTGCTCCTTTGTCACCTTGCAGATAAAATGGTATTTGTGAAAAACCCTCCTTTTGTTTTCAGTTGTTTTTCCACATCTTTGTTCATTTTCAACAGCTCAGTTACATGCCTCCTGACCGCTCAGTAGATTTTGATTTTACCAAGAGGGGGCTGTTGGTGTTTGCTGACAAATCAGTCAATGCTTGGACACCTTGCAGTGGACCCAAAGCATCAGCCTTCACTCCAAACCTGGGAGTCAATGAATTTAACATGATCATCCAGCAAATGGCAAAGGTAAGGCTCTAAGGTTTAGTGATCCAAACTTTTTTTGAATTTTGGAGCATTTCACACTGCTTTTTTTGTTGTGTTTCTGGAAGCATGGTGCCTCCTAACCAGGAGAGAGTAGAAGTGTTGAGAACTTTTCCCTGGGGAAGATAATGTCAGCAATAGGAAGTGGCTTGGTGGCTTGTTTTGTTTTTTTAACTTCCACTGCCAATTTTCTGTTTTACTTTCTACCAAACACACCAACGTAGCAAGGAAATTTCAATTGCCAGACAACATTTTTGGTATTTGATGACACTTAATTGAAAATGGGCATTTTCAGCAGAATCTTGTTTTGATGGAAGCACTTGTTTATCAAGTACATTTTAAATTGGAAATGTACCAACTTTATGAACAGTGCAAAGGATTAAAAAAAACCCAGCATGTTATATTTAACTCTTTATTTAGTATGTCTTAACTTTGCCAGACAGATGCAGATGTACCAAATTCCCTAAGGATTTGTACAGGTGCAGACTTCCACCCATGTGGGATTGGCATTTATAGCACAAATGTATTGTTATGTGTTATTTTGAACCATTAGTTTAATTGCTTAGTCATGCCTTTCTATATTAAGTAACTGTTGCTAATTGACTACCTTAATGTAGCTGTAGTATTTTGAGCATTACTCTTCTCATTAGGGTGTCATTAACTCATCAGAGAAAAGATTTAGCAGTAAAGGCTGCATGTTATTTGGAATATAAAGAGTGCATTCTCCCAGTAATATTTCCCAGTAAACAACCCCAGAAATCTTGTATTAGAACAGGCAGTTGCAAAAGCAAACTTTTTTTAGCATTAAGTGTGAAGCTGCAGAGAGGGGAAGGAAATTAATTTCTTTATTTAAAAGCTTCAGTCTTTTGAATGCACACCTAAAAATCAGCATTAAAAGCAAGGGAAGCCAAAAGACAAGTCATTTAGTTCAGCTACACAGCATTTCCAGAAATCCCAAATATATTGCTCTAGACAGCACTTTGTTCATAGTTTTCATCCAGCTTGGAATTCATCTCATAATGTGAATGAAGTGTGAAAGTAGCTCTTAAATTCCCTGAGGTTTCAGAACCTCAGAGTGCTTGCATATCCAATACATTGCTATATTAAAAATAATAAATGGAGGAGCTTTTATAGAAATAACATACTCAGTATTTTGCCTTTGTTTAGTCTTAGGAGGAGAATAATTCTCACAGTGTTCATAAATTTTAAACTAGCTCATTCTATTTCATTGAAAATTAGTAAGTTCTTTTATCTTCTGTTTTATTAGGGAAGACAAATAGAATCAATAACGATTGATAAACCTTCTGTTGGAGGTCTTGGATTTAGTGTGGTTGCCCTTAAAAATCCCAGCCTGGGAGAAGTTGGTATCTTTGTCAAGGAAGTCCAGCCAGGAAGCATAGCTGACAGGTGAGATCTTCATAATTGTGTTGGGAAATTGTATTTTCCATGAAGGGAAAAGTCATGACCTTCACATTGAAAACTCTATCAGAATAACATGTTTGTCTGGGTTATCTGGTGGGATATTTTGGTGGTGGTATCTTGAATTCTGGCTTTTCAGCTAAAAGGGATTCATGTTTTGAGGATCAGGTTTTCAGATGAGTTTTAAATATCCAAGCCATTCATAAATGGAATTTCCAGAAATCATGACTCACTTTGGAGAATTTTGAGTCCTGATTAAAAAAACAAAAGAAAGCTCAGAAAAGAATTACAAAGAAAATAAAAATTAGATTCCATTTTTAATTTTTATGCATTTTGTCCATGAAAGATTTTTTTTTGCCTCCTTTTTCCTTTATTTATATGCCTCTGACAATGCCTTATTTATAGCTGGTTTTACTGTTTGTTTCCTGTGTAAATTTAGATCCACTTCTCCTGACAGATCCCTGCACAGATGTCATCATAGAATCGAGGCTTCAGGCAGTTTCTTCCTGTATTGTCTGTGGGTTTTCACCCAACAACAAAAGACAGAGCAATCCTTTAAAAATAAAATGCAATTGTAAAACCACAAGAGTTGGCATGAGACAAATGCAGTGCTTGGAATTATGTTTCAAGAAAATGTGTCTAGATTTCAAGTCATTGGTGTCACTTTTTAAATAACACATGTCAGGAAGTGCCAACACAGGATGACAAAAAGAGTGGGGAGAGGTTGGAATGATAATGGCGATGGGCCCACAGAGAACACACCAGAGAACACTTAAAGAAAAGCATATTAAAGCTCTTTCAAAGTGGAGACAGATGGACTGATCCGGATGTCAAAGGAGGGTGAATATCTCACTTTAGGATTTGATGACCTGCTGCTCACTTTCTTTGATGAGAGAATCTGAAATATGGTTAGTGCTCGAATAAAGTGATTTCTGGGAAACATCTTAAACATGGCACGATAAAAAGGAAGTTTCAAATGCCTTAGTTAAGATGTGCAGTTATATTGTTTCGGAGTTTATAAATTTCCCCAGCATGCTTCCCATTTTGCTTCTGAGACAAGATCTCCTGGAGACTTTTTTTTGGATTCCTACAGAGCTTTGAAGGCAGTGTCTGTCTATGTAACAGTTTGGTCTCGTGCTCAGAATGAATATTTAACAAAGGAGATGAGTGATGGTTTCTCTCTTGTCACAAATCTAAATTCATCACTGGGGTGAATTAACTGTGAAATTTATATTATCTCAAGGTAGCAACCGAACTGTGCGTTGCTCCAAGAAAGTTTCATGTCTGAACCTTGATACTATAAATTTTAACTAAAATATAAATACGCAGCACATCAATCCTTAGATTAAATAGTGATACAAAACAGCATCAAAGCCTGAGTTGTGGGTTGTTAGAGATGGCATCATGTAGTGCTAAACATAATGAAGAACAGTTCCTAGTTTATTGTGTAACTACAAAAATATTTTTTTCTGCTTTGTAGTTCAATATCATCAAGAAAGGATAAGGGAATTGCAATTAAATTTTGAATAGAAGCAAAGTAAAGAATTGAGTAAATTTCTGTACCACAACAAAGCTGGAACAAAATGTGGCTGGGCTGTTTGGAACAGTGTAGATTCAGTGTAAGCTGGTGAAGGCACCCTAATAAGCAGATTTTTAAAATACATAAACATTTAACCTCGCAGGACTGTGAATTTTACGTGTTCATAATTCAGTTACACGAGCCTGATGCGGAGTCACTGTGCTGCATTAAAAAATTGCTTTCAATGTTTTGTTAAGGGATCAAAGACTGAGGGAAAATGACCACATACTGGCCATTAATTGCACGCCATTGGATCAGAACATTTCCCATCAGCACGCCATTGCCCTCCTCCAGCAATCCACAGGATCCCTGCATCTGGTGGTGGCTCGGGAGCCACTTCAAGGGAACAGCAGAACTGCCTTATTAAGTGATGTAAATCCACCTGAGACTGTGAGTTGTTGTAATACTGTCAAAATCAGATTTTGAGCTGGGCTGGATTTTTTTTTTTATTTTTTTTTTCCAGGGCTCTCAAGTGTTTGTGTTAAGCAAGTTTTACATAGAGGGATTTTTTGCTTTAATCAGATTTTGTGTGTGATGACATTTCATTTAGAGCCACCGTGCAGTAAGCACAGAGCTTCCATTGCAAATCTGCATGGAGTTGTTATAAAACAGATCCTGGGTTTTTATGGGATAGCAGAAGCTTTAGTAGATCACCATATTCTTGTCAGCAAGGTCTGTTCAGCACAGGCTGGATGAAGCATTTTATGAGAATACCCAGCTGAAACCTACTTGTGCTCAGCAATTAAAGATGCACTGATTACCTCTTAAAAAGAGAGTAAACATAACCTGCCATGGACACTGCTTGAAACAGCCCAACCAATTTAAATTGGCACTACTCACACTAAAAAGCCTTGTCTTTGTTTTAAAAAACAAACACAATTTATCTGTTAAAGAACCTCTCAATCCCTGTTTATTTATCAGCTTGTTTTGTTTGAGTTGGGTTTTTTTTGTTGTTTTTTTTTTCATCTGCAAATTTCAGTGATTTGGAAGCCTTTTGTTTTTGTGACAAAGGAGAGCTTGTCACTAGGACATGCAATGAACCAGGGCTGAACTTCCATCTGTGTTCCACCCATATGGCCCAGGTGGCTTCCCTGAATTTGGTCAAACTGCACACCTAAATCCAGGGATTGCAATATTGAAATCTGAATTTATTGTGCTAATAGATTTTGATGAAAATCTGTGTAAAAGCAGTGCTTTTCCTTATTCATAGTAATTATTTCCCTCATGATTATTACAGAGGTAGTGAAATCTGAAGGTTTTAGTGGATAATCAATATTGTTTATTGCACTGAAAATTTTAAAGAATTAAATTTTAACTGCTTTTTCATTGAAAGATCTGTACTGAACAGACTAACAAAATAAAACACAAATATATATCTCTGCAGGGGGTCTTTAAACTTCTTTTATGATATTTAACTGGCTTTGGCAAAGATTTTCAGTATGCTAATAAATCCTTTATTCGCAGAAGACTTAAATCTGCCTACTTTGCTTCATTTGGGCCTGTATGAGATATTAATCTGACAGAAACATTGGCTGGGTTTGGGTTGCTTAACAGCTTTGTTATTTTCAGATTGTCTTGTAGAACATAAGGTCATGGTACAGTGTAGCTTAGAAATTTGCTTCCAATCCAGAATGGCAGAATATTGTGCTGTGCTATTAATTCAGTGCTGAATGGGGGTGTTCAGAGTGTGTAAGTGAAATAACAGAAATAAGAATTTGGGCAAACGCTGAGTGAAAACTGGGCCAGTGTACTCCTTGCCTCTGTTTTTCCCTCTTGTTTGCAGTTCTCTGGATTTATGAAAAACTAAAAGGATACTTTTCATTTTGGCAGGAAGATCTTAAAATTGCTTTTTCTTAGTCAAGCTTTTTCCTAGTATCCTGTTATCCTGAAAGCGGAGGACAAAAATGTGTGTTTAAAAACAGATGAGAAATCCCACTGCGTATTTATAAGGAAATGGAGCTGAGTGAACAAAATCCCACAGATCTCCAGTATGTGGGGTGGAGACAGAAAATGGGTCTGATTAATTCTCCTCGTTCCTGCTACACGTGAAAGCGAGAAACGTTAACGATCGTCCGAAATTAAAATCTCCTGTTTTTATTAATTGCAGATTCACTGGGGCCACGTTGAAGACGTTGAGCTGATTAACGATGGTTCAGGATTAGGCTTTGGAATTGTAGGAGGAAAGTCGAGTGGAGTAGTTGTAAGAACAATTGTTCCTGGGGGATTAGCAGATCGGGTAATTTGTTATATTATGTCACTTCTTGTTTGATTGCAAAGTATAATTAAGCACTTTTGACAGTCTTAAAATAAACTAATATACTTAAACAAAAGGAAGCTGGTAGCATCAAAGTCTGAATGCCAGCACATGATTAATAAATACATTGAAGGTATGGCTGAGGACAGAAGTCAGCACCTGATGTAAATGAAGTTGTTTCTCAGACAATCTTTGGCTTTTGTAACATTGTTGAACATGGAAAAATTCTGACAAACTGCTTCATATCTTTAATATTTTTGGTATTTTCAGCCTTTGGTCAGTCTGGGGCAGGACAAATACTCTCTAGAATTTGGCACATTTTGCAACGTCTATAGGGACAAACTCTCCAAGTGAATTGTCAGGCAAGAAAATCTGCCCTACCAAAGTCAGTGCATTGCAAGATTCAGTTTAGAAATCAAAAATGTCCTGTTTCCAGTGGGTTCCAGTGAAGGGGGGGTTTGATCCCTGCCTTGCAGCCTGGCCAGTTCAAGAAGACACTTAGGTTTGGTGCAAAGCCTTTTGAAGTTACACAGGCACAGTTTGCACCTTTGGTTTTTTGTCTTTAGAGACTTGGTGCTGAGCATTGCTACATTTCAGAAGTAGAACACTCAATATAACAAAAATATTTATTTTTAATAACAAAACAGATTCAGATTTTTAAAGCTAATTTCGTCACGATGAGTTACGGTATCTGAGGACTGGAACCAATGCAGACAAAAGAGAGAGGCAAAAATACTTCCTCTAGAACAGGATGGAGCTAAAACCTGGAAGTTTGGAGAGCTTTACTAGAAAATGTTGGCTTTTTCTTGACTGTCTCCCTCTGAACCTGCCATGTATAAATGAGTATTTTTTAATTTTTGTCTAACACCTGTTTTGCTGTAAGGAATAGAGTGTTTTGGCTACCAATGAAGCATGTAAGCTAAGAACTCACCCCATCATTCTCAGCTGAATGAGACATCATTAAAAACATGTGAAATAATGAGGCATGTACATGTTAAAATTGGATGAGTTTGTAAATGAGTTTGAGTTGGTTCTGGGAATAACTCTGTGATTGCTGTATAAATCAATGCACCAAAGGTAGTGGAGCTGTGCTGATCAATACCAGCTGAAAATCTGGTGCTAGAAATTCCTGCTTGTGATGGAAATGATGATGTAGGTTGTGAATCATAATTATCAGGTAAAAAATGGATTGTGTGGAGTCTTGTTGCCTTCAGTGGCTTTACTCACTCAAGTTGGAGCTGGTCACATGAGAAAAATAGTGCCTGGCTAATACGGAAATATGAGGGAAAAACTCTATAAAAACTCCTAAATCAAAATGCTGTGCTTATGTTCTAACTCCTGTCTGATGAGGAGTATTCCATGAAACAGAACACAAAACAATCTGTGAGATTATAAAACATTGTTGCTGCCTGTTTTTTCCTAAATGAGCACAGCAGTGGAAAAAACAGCACATAACTGTACAAACAAGTCCTTGAATGATTTAAAATGTTGCCGTGGTGGTCATATTTTCTGGAATTTTCTCACATTGGTTCTCATGGCCATGAAGATGCCCCTACACAGTTAGGGTTTTGTGATGGAAAAGATACTTTATGGATGGACTGGAAACACTTTTTGCCATTTTATTTGCATTTGAAGGACGGGAGGCTGCAGACAGGAGATCACATCTTGCAGATTGGAGGGACCAACGTGCAGGGAATGACCAGTGAGCAAGTTGCCCAAGTGCTGAGGAACTGTGGGAATTCTGTCAGGATGATCGTTGCAAGGGACCCCAAGTGTGAAGCCATGGAGGCTCCACCAGCTCCTGCAAGCTGGCCAGTCAGCACATTACCTTCCCTTCCAAATGAAAATGTGAGTATCTGCTGCTTGCTTCTGACATTTTTAACTGTGTTTGTGGCTTGTGATCAGAAAGGAAGGAGAGAACAGTGTTCTTGGGCCCTAAAGTGCTTCTTCTCTCTTGAGCTTCCAGGTATCATATTCTTGTGTTTAAGTGGTCATTATTATAGCCGTGCCTTCTATACTTTCTCCCTTTTCCTGTATCTTATTAATACCTATAATCTTGGGATTGGAATGACCATCTTTACAGAATTTATTTCTGAGTGGCTAATTTAATTACCAAGACCATAAACATTATCGATAAGTGGTACTTTCAGTTCTTCTTCTTAGCTCATTACATTTTTTCTAATCAATCATTTGTAAGTGGATTTAAAACTGGACTGTGAATTTCCCTAGTCTGAAATCCAGAGAGCCACGGCCACACCAGAATTATTCAGCACAATCATCTTTTTATGAAACATAAGTGTAATGTTTTCATAGTCTACGCTACTGCCTGTGATAGGAAATATATCTAAAAATTTTGAAACTTGTTTTAGCAAATCTTATCATGGTCATATCAAAGTCTCTTGTTTTTGAAGTCATTCTTTTCAGTTTTGAGTAATTAAAATCAACAAATGCTACACTAAGTGTACAGTAGGTCTCGAAACATAAACAAAGCTGTGCTTGTGTACCATCTGCTACTACTGTGCTGCTTAGATTTAGGTGTAGAATCTGAGTAGCCTTTTCTTTCTTGTTTAGTTTCTTGAATATGAGTGAAGAGAGCTGGGTTTTTTTTTTTGAAGCACTGTTTTTAAAGGTCAGAGTAGAAGTCACTTTGCTACAAACTCACCTCTTTGCTCACTGGGCACAGTCACTGCAAAGGCAGCTTTGTGTTTTACATCCCTGGGAAAATGCTGTGCCTGTGTCAGTCAAGTATTTTGGGTTCTTCTGGAGCTCCTTTTCTCCCCAGGGGATCCCCAGGAGGGATCAGTGCAGCAGGAAACGCAGTGTCCTGGAGATGGGAGGGCTGATCTGCATCCCTAAAGCTGGAGTCTGAAAACTGGGCTTGTCCAATACTCTGCCTAGAGGCTTTCCAAGGGAATCAGCAGTGTTATGAGGCCCTTCTTTCCTGACTGGATCATATTTTCCAGGGCCCATATTAGGGGCAAAATAATGTGGTCATAGTTTTGTTTCCTCCACAAAATACTGTTTTTCTCTCTTCTGTTGTCACTGATCAGCCCTGAGCATTGTAAATGCTGCAGCCTTTCTAAAATGTGATTCCTTCTCAGTGTCTTTTCAGTGTCCTCTGTGTTCCTGCTATGCAGTTTAGAGGGGAAAAAATAATTTTCTGAACTAAATAGTGCCTTCATGTGTAGATTTGAAGAAACTCCTCTTCCTGGTGCCAGGAAAAATTTGCAAAGATGAGTTAGTTAGATTAGTTAATCTGACTGTAGTTATTAGTTTGATGATGATTTCAATGATCCACCATTGAGTTTGTGTCAAATCTATAATGGAACTTATCCCTATAATCTAGGGTTTTTTTCTCTGGTTTTTGAGTCTTTCACTAGCTGTGAGCTTTGGAATAGAAAATATTTTCTTTTTCTCAGTTTTTGCAAACCAGCAGAAAGGCATTTTTAATAGTTGGTTAGTTATTTTAAGTTTTACATTAATATTTAATTTTCTTTGAATATCCTGCACTAGAGAATAACTGAAGGAAGAAAACAATCTTATTATCTGTACTGACCAAGATAGTGACAGCAGTGTGAGCAGCCTGCTTGTGCTGACTGTATTTAGGACTTTGCACTTTGATTTTTCTGGACTTCATCTCAATTATTTTGCATTCTAGCAGGAGTGTTATTTAAAGAGAAATGTTTGTAGCCAGAGCACTGACTCTGAGGAGCTTTTTGGTTGTCAAAACAGCCCGGTTCTCAAGGCCCCAGCTCCATTTCAGGTGTTGCTGTGGGCTTGTTTACTGTAGATAAGTGACAGCATCCAAACTTATCTTCATCTCCATCGGCCTCTTATGGGGCAAGGGAGTTGGAAGGCATTTAATGAGCTTAATGACTTTGCTGGTGGAGGGAGGTGTGTGTGATAACGAGATAGTGCCCATCGATTTCTCTTCCATTGAGAAGTGAAATAGGTATGGCTGGAACTCTGGGCTGCTTTTGATATGGGTCCTTCCAGAGCTGATACTTGGCAAGCATTTGATTGAACTTCTCTTTTTTCACTCCCTTAAGAAATGTTTTCCATTTTCCCCAGTCCATTTTTTGCAGTTGGCAGTGACAGGATCCCTCTTGATTTCATCACTTTAACAGACCTTACTCTCATCATCTTCTTTTTGATCTCATTGCTCTGTATCTGATTACAGAAAGCAAACAACTCTATGTATTTTAATTTATCCCTTGCAATCCCAGATTTATGTGCTTGATTGTTTTTCTCTTTTGGTCTCACCAGTGTCTTTACTGTTCCCTGTTTGAACTCTTGCCTTGCAGTTCTGATTTTTACTGGTCAGAGAAGAGTTGCACAGACATCCCAGGGCCAGCTTTGCAGGGACTTTACAAATGAGTTTACATTGCATTTAAACAAAAGGGAAAACAAAATCACTTCTCACTTCTGAAGATCTTAATTAACCTATAATATTGTAATGGCATTGGGAAATTAGGAGAACTTTTTTACTGTCTTGTGCTTTATTTATAGGATAATGACAACTTTTTTGATACCTATGATGTTGAACTTATAAAAAAGAATGGGCAAAGCCTGGGAATAACAATTGTTGGATATGCTGGCACATGTGATATAGGTGAGTTGTACAGGATTTAGGAAAATGGTGGACAGGGGCTTCTCAAAACCCTTTACTGACCACAGGGAAAATTAATAGCTCCTACCTGTGCTAGGATATAGGATCATGAAATTCACTAGAATCACAGATCAGCATCTCGTATTTCGTGGCAGTTTGTGAAAGGGAAGTGTTAGTGTTTCAGGGGTTTTATTATTTTTTTCTTTGTTTTTATTTCTTTGTTCTCATTGGGAGTTAGAATTAATAATCAAACTGCAAACATGACAAAGGACAGCTTTTCTGATTTCCATGTCTCCCTTTTCTTTTTTTTTTTTTTAAAGAAAAATCCTTTTTCATTAAGATTTAAAGTACTAAATTCTTCAGCTGTAAGATGATTGAAGTCCTGATCAAAGTCCTTAAGCACTTACTTTACTTTTAGCTTAGTTAGTCCTATTGAAATCAAACGCAGCATGGATTTAAATGATTGCAGTTTAAAGCCTGGGTAAGCACAAGGATGAATCCATGGAGGAGGTGGCCTTTTGTGAGCCATTTCAAGGAAAAAATGTGAGGTCAGTGTACAGGTGGTTGTGTCAGTGCTGGGTTCTTTTTCCACCAGAGATCCTCAGTTTTGTGTCAAGCTGTGGGAGTGGGGACGTGCAGATGGTGGTGGTTTACAGAATCATCATTTTATGGGCAGAAGGAAGTGTGTGAAAAAGGCTGGAATTCAAAAATCTTAATAAGAAAATAAGCAAATTAGGTTAATGAAGTGACTTGTTTCTCTTCCCCCCGCAACAGAACCTTCAGGGATTTTTGTGAAAAATATAATACCTGGTAGTGCTGCTGACCACAATGGCCAAATTCATGTTCATGACAAAATTGTTGCTGTAAGTAAAATACTGTGATTATATATTGCTGTAGAACTAATACATTTCATATCTCAGTTAAAAGAACAACATAGTAAAGACTTTCTAAAATTAATTAAACCTCCTCTGCTCTGCAGAAGAAATAATTTGGTGGTTCATGTTTGTTTAGGTAGACTTGTGACAGAAATGAGCTTTGGCTTGCTGTGGTTAAAGTATTATTTTATATTCAAAGAAGTAGTAAATAGTAGTTAACTCTGAAAGAGGCAAGCATTTGGATTAAAGTGTTTCAGAGTGGAGAATCTTGGCTTTTGGCCTGCAGTAAAGATGAGCAGCATTAACTTCTACTTGAATTGAATGTGATTCAAGGATTGTTAAGATTCTGCAAGATGTGGCACATTGTTTGTGTTCCTTAATGGCTGTGTAGTGTGGATACAATCAAAATGTTAATGGTCACAATTTAGGTTTTAAAAGCCCAAGCTTTATGTGTAGAAAAATGGAAAATCCATTGAATAGCAGTGAATTGAATAATAGCCAATTTTGCATTCACAGCACAAGCAGGGATGAATTCCACAGTCTTTTTGTTTTAAGAGATAATATTTATAGAGATATGATTTTAAATTACTTCTAAAATGTGTGCCATGCCAGACCTTCCAAAGTCAGCTTCTCCTCTGTGGGAGCAAAAATTAATATAATCTTTTATCTGCAGGAAAGGCCCTATTGATGCATGGTCTGACAGTGAGGTGAACAGAGTATTTTGGGTGTAAATTAAAATATCTGATAACGTAAGAATTAGGCTGTTTAGGGTGGATTATAGAAACAGTTGTTTGTAGAGGCTTGTGTGGGGTGTGTTAGAAATCCATGAGAAAACCAGCAGTGATAATGAACTGAACAGAGTTCTAGGCTGGATACTCTGCTTGGAACCTTCATCCACAGTCTTTAAAAAGCTGGTTTTGGAAAGCAAAAAAAAAAAAAATTAAGGAAAAATCTGTGCATATTTGTATCAGATTAGTAAATTCTGTTTTGTGGTTGTCCCCATGAAAACAGAAAAGAAGAAATTGCTGTTGTACTTCCTTTTGAAATGCATTTTGGAAATAAATTCTCATCAGTGAAATGTAACAGATTTAATGAGATTGTTTTGCAAATATTGCTGTCTTGGGAGAGTAACCCTGTAATTCCTGTACTAAATAACGTGGCTGTTGCTTACAGCCTATGGTACTCCACAACACAGCCTAAGAATGCAGCACAGTTACTGTTATTTGCTACAATTTTCTTGTTTTAGGTTGATGGAGTCAACATACAGGATTTTACCAACCAAGAAGTGGTAGAGGCACTGCGAAACACGGGACAGACTGTACGTCTCACCTTGCTTAGAAGGAAACCTTCCTTTACTATCTCTTCAGAAACACCTTCAGATAGAGGTAATTCTTTCTTTCCAGCAAATGATTTTATTTTTCACTCAATTTACAGTTACCTCATTTAACAGTTTAGGACTGGATACCACATGATCCTCAGTTTTTTAAGGGTGCACTTTTTTAAATACTTAAAGGAGGAACGGCAAGAAGCTAAAATGAGAGATTTAGGAAAATTCAGTGCAAAACTCCTGTGTAGCCACCCCACCAAATAAAAAGAAGGAATTAGTGAGGTGGTGTTACTACTTCCAGTATTTAGCAGCGTATGATTTGGGGTTTTTTTCATCTGTTTTCGCAGCACAGCCAACTGTTCCAATCTTTGTGTCCCCTGGAGCTGTAGGGACTGAAATTATTAGTGTGGCCACTAAGAATGAGGGAAATCAAGAACAGAAGGATAATCTTCACAATGGAAAGATAGGATATCTTAGAGTGCCTCTTCTGAGTCTTGTTAAAGGCTACCATCTTTAATCCATTTTCAACACTGATGGCCTGTCATGGCTTACTCCAGCTTTTGCTGAAGTAAAGCTCTACCTCTTGGATCTGATCAGCTCTCCCACCCCACCCTTTCCCCAGATTGTAGCACTGTCCACAGGTCTGCTCAGTGGATTCTGAGATATCTTAAGGCCTGTAATTCTCTGGATCTTCTTCCTTGCATAAAATATGCCCTTTTCCAGTCAGCAATGATAGCCTTTGTTAGGGAGGGCTTTTTTATGGGTACAGTCAGTGCATATGCAGCTCTTCCAGTAAACTCAGGAATGACTTTCATTAACTCTGAAAGCCTCCAGCTCAGTGATTCCTCTTTGTGGTCCTGGTCCTGCACTGATGACCTGAAGTGTCCTGCCTGCAGTTTGCTCCTGAGAGAGAATTTATCATCCTCCTCTGCTGCCAGGGCCCTGCACCAGCCTGCTGGGTGAGCAGCATCAGGAGATGGGACTCCAGGGAATTCATATTTATTTCCTGATCAGTGTTACCTCAGTCATACCCATTTTCATGGTTGGACTCAATAACCTTAGAGATCTTTTCCTGCCTTAATGATTCTGTGAGATTCTTGCCCTCACACATCTTAGACTCCTGTGTTTTGATAATATTCTTCTGGTTTCCTGTACCACATCTCTGAACACGCTGCAGTTTCCTCTCTTGGCACTGCAGTAGCTTCATCAGAACTCGTGTCTTGGGTGTAAAGACCCGGTAGCTGGAGTTCAGAAAAGGCATTTTTGTAACAAAAGGCACTCAGACACAGGGACAGGTCACAAAGGCATGGGCTGCTCTGGGTTTTAGCTGACTTTGGAACCAAGGCTGAAGGTCTTTCCAGAATCTTCAATTCCCCCACAGATTTCTGGGCTCCTCTACAGGAACTTCTGGGTGAATTTATACAGCTTGTGTTAAAGTCAGCATAAATTATCCTTATGCCTTGTCGTTTCTAAGATATGTAGATGTAATAGAGGATTCTAAATTACGGCTGTCAATGAATAGCAATTTTGCTGTGATTGTTGAAGATCTGTCAGTATTAAAGACAACCTGGAAACGAGAGAAATGTAGCAGTTCCTATATTCCATTCTGCTTTACTTTTCTGTCCAAGCCTTGTAACCAGACATCCTTTGTTGTGACTTTTGCATGTTCCCAGAAAGAGGAAGCCAGAACAGAGGTGGATGAGTAGCTGAGAGTGGAGGTTCTCATAGCATTGTTTTGCTATGACAGAAAGCAAAAGCTGGAAAAGAGCAGCACTTTGTCTGTCCTGTGTCACTTACCCAGTTTTTGTTTTTTTACTGTGGGACTTCTATGCATATTTTACTCCCACAGAAATACGATGTATGAGATTTCACCTTGGAACAGAATTTAATGGCCAGGTTTAAATTCCAAAGATAGGTGCTTATTTTGGATGTGGTGATGGGCACTTCATTATAATGGTGCTAAAGTAAATACTGCTAATTTAAGGCTCTGACTAAACTCTGGAAATGCTTTTAGAAGTTTAATGTGAAAGGTATGTTTTATAAAATGCGTATTACTTCCCTTTAAGCCTAGTTGTGTGAAATTCTTATTAAATTGTGTTTCCTGGGGAGGTATTAAATAGTAACTCTGGCCAGGCAAAGCCATGCTTAAGCAGTTCTGGTACAAAGGCAGCGGGGTTTGGGCTGCAGCGTGCACGAGGCCTGGAACTCTGTGCTAGCAGAGTGCAGGCAATGAATTTAACAGCTGCCTCTGCGAGCCTGCAGCCTGGGCAGAACTGCTTCATCCTGCCTTGCAGGAGTACTCAAAACCCAGAGGGACAATGCTGGGAGTCAGGAGCTTGAGAGATGTCTGGGGAAAAAGAGCCCCAGCAGTAGCGCAGGTAAAGGGTTAGGAACACAGTGCACACCCTTGTGTAGTAACTTTGTGAGAGCAGGAGGAAGAAAAAAATATCCCAGTTTTGAAGAAGCTGACAGTTTTGACCATAAAAGATGATTTTTACAATACGTTTGTGGTTTCTTCTTTATGCTTGCTAATTAGAAATGAGAAACTGCCTGGAAGCGCAGGCAGAAGGACAGGCTAAATATGCTGAAAAGTTGTTGCTAATGAAAGCTGTCCCTGGGAAGTGTTTTCATTTCTGAGGCCTTGCACATTATGGAAGACATGGTACATATGTCAGGTCATGAGGAATTCAGCTGCATGAGAGACTAGAAAGAAATTTCCTAGTAGCTGCCATGTGGAAAAAGCTGTTTGGGGAAAAAGGAACATTGTAAATGAATTGAGTGATGCCACTGAAATTGAATATATTCAATCCAAATCCCTTCAGCCCAACATTTCCACAGTTCTAAGGAAGTTACAAGAAGAGACTTCAAAGTGTATTTGAAACAAAGAAAGGTGAAAACTTCAGATGGAGACATGCATCAGCACGTGCTCTGAACAACTTTTAGATTTTGGTACTGTGTTTTGGAAGTGACAAAAAAATCTGTATTCAGCCAGCTGAGCACAGATTACAGTTGCTGAACTGAACTTTGAGCTTGACCCTGAGATTCATTGCTCCTGGTGAACCTTAAAACCTATATTTGGTGGCACAGGGGATTACAGGTGCTTAGGTCCTGTGTGTTCACACTGTTGTAACTCTGTAATAGCAGAAAAAGAGACTCAGGAATTTCTGTCCCTCTGTGTTTCTGCAAATGGAAGGAGCAGAAGAATGCACTGGTGTTCTGGTTTTGATACAGTTGAGAAGTAAAGACAGTGATCAGCCTGTGCTTGATAGTAAGTCACACATTAGAAACTTTTATTTCCAGTGAAGTTAAAAAACCCTAATTAGCGGTTGATAATTTTAGGACAATTTGTCTTCCTGTTATTTTTTAAGGAGATAATTTATTTCAGAGACAACTGTGGGCTGTATTTACAAACCCAAGTTTTTAATCTTGATGGGGTGTGGTTTTGGTAGCAGAAAATAGCTATCAGGATTGCTGGAATTCTCAGATATCTGTGTCTGCTTGAGCCTGTAGGTTGAAAATCCTCTGGATATTTCCAAGGTTTCTCAGTGCAGATCAGACAGAATTTGCTTGTCTGGCTTGGCTGAAAGTGAGCTGGAGAGACACAGGGGTGGGCTGTGTTGTCGTAGAAGCGAACTTCAATCTTTGCTTTTATTGAGTGGAAAACTTCAAAGTTATGAAAGTGTGTAATGAGGATTGTATTGCAGAGCTTTATCTTTGCAGTCTGCAAAGGTGTTGAAAGCAGAGGCAGCTTGACAATGCCATTTGTGCAGGCTTTTGCTCCTAGGTGGGCTCTGAGCTCCTCGTGGTGTCTTCACAATTCCCTCCCCACCCCGAGGTATTTTACTCTCTGTGTGCAAAACGTGAGCTTGTCCTTTACATTCCGAATTTCAGGGCGACGCAGTGATCTGTGCCTTGTCTAGACATCTGACAAACTACTGCAGTCATTCAGGGGGGAAAAATAAACCCCAGGTTTTTGGTAATTCAGCCCCCAGATGCTGCTGCTGCTGTCGCTGCTGGATGGAATTTGCTGTAGAGCTTGATTCTTACCAGTTACACATTGCTCCAGCTTGGAACTTTATATGTGAGCTGAGCTTCTGGCTGAGGTCAAATGCAGGGCAGCCAGTCATTTTCTGCTGTCTAGCTCTGTCAAATTGTCTTACAGGACTGTAACCAACTGCCTTGGTTGCATAAGTAAGAAAGCTGAAAAGATATAAATGTCAAGATAGCCAAGTTCCCACGGAAGACTGGTTTAGAACTGGAGCTTATATTAAAGCTCATGTTACTTACTGGCCTAATTAAAGTAGACAAGGCTTTATACCTGCCAAATGTATAAATAAAGTCTGTGCCTGCGTTGTGCTGACACAGCCCCTTGGTAACAGCAATATCTTGTCAGGTGTTCTCCTTCTGAAGGGGGCTCATTGGGGTGGGAGATGATGTTTCCCTGGAGTGGGAAGCGTTTTTACGGCAACAAATGATGAAGTCGTGTGAAATTTGTTTTGCAGCCTGAAAGAATGATTTATTTACAGTAGTGCATGGTACAGAACTCGCATCTCATCACCAAGCATCACCTCTTCTGCCTCTCAGCTGAATAAATCACACTTTTACAGGAGCTGACATTTTGTATTGTTTTCCTAAGAAAGACATTTTTGATTTGTGCTGTTTGATAGACTCAGCTTAATGCACTTCCCTTTTGGGGATTATTCCCTCTAATCTTTTATTTACACTGAATTTTTATTGGAGTATTTAGAAGTAAATGTACTTCTGAATGTACAGTATGCTTGTAAATTTAATATTCACTTTCATATTTAGGAAGAGTCCCACTCGCTCCAGCACATGAGCTGAAATCCAAGTGGGAAAACCTGCTGGGACCAGAATATGAAGTTATGGTATGTTTTATTTCAATAAACTACATTCATGAATGTTATTTCTTTAAATTACAGATCTGTGAGCTTAGCATTACAGGCTGTTTATAGAACAGTTCAGTGTTTGGAACAGATCAGTAACATCAGATTTTCTTTCCTGTAACGTCGGGGCTGAAATGTATGTTATAATGAGTTGGGGGATTTGCTGCCCTTTTATTTTATTCTGTTTATACAGATACTGTTGTAATACAAATACGAGACAGGAACAGTGATTTAAGGAAATCAGCTGTCCTGTTAAATCAGCATCACAGCAGCCACTTAAAATATATGGCATTTTTATTATTTCATTCATGATCTATTTGTTTTATTGGGCACCGAATTAAAAAAGTGGCTCAGGATAGAACTTCTGTGTTCAGAAGAATCTTACCATTCTGTCTGAAGAATGAAAGAATGATTCTCAAACATGCTGGGAAAATACAAAGTAATTCTCACTAGTGTAACTTTGTGGTGCCAGTGTCTAGTAAATATATCTTCATATTAAATAATTACCTAGCAAAAGATTGTTTTGATGAATTGTCACGAGGAGTTGATGGAAACTGTAATTCACTTGTGCTTTTCATTGCTGGGTGAGCCAGCAAATACAGATAAAAGTCTACGGACAGCATTCTTTCTGAAACCTTAAAAAATTCTCACCACCACCAAGAAAATGCCCTGTTTGTCTTTGCAATGCTTGCCCAGTTGATTTAGAGACACTTATTTTTACTACTTGGAGTAGCCATCGTTCCAGTCACTCGCTGGGAGATTTAAAGTAGCTTTAGGAATTGCCTTGAGAAATTCACTTCCCTTCTTTCCATTAGCACTCCTTTAAGATCTGAAGCTCGTGTGAGATTATGTACATGATGCAATAAATCTGTTTGGCTGCCCACTTCAGTTGCTTGGTATTCCCACCCTTCTATTTCCAGGGGCTGATATTACCTCCCTGAGCACTATCACACTTCCCACAGAGGATGAAATCCTGCTTAGTTGGTGAATCCAACCATCCCCAATCCTTCTTCAGCCGCCGCCAGTGAAATGTCAGCAGTGAAAATGTTAATGATGGGGCCTCTTGAATAATAGAAGGGAACTCTCCTGGCCATCCCATTTTGAAAGTCATTTTTTGGTTTTGGTTGCCTGTGCCTCCCTCCTGTGTTCACTAGCAATGTCCAGTTGGAGTCCAGCCTGTGACACCCCAGTCCCTGTGTCACACCACCCTCACTCAGCCCCAGAACTCTCACCAAAGGTTCCTACAGGATTCTCTCAGGAGTATTTATCTTCAAAGGAAACAGCTGTTTGAAGGGAAGGGTTGGTGACCCTGGTGGTTTCTGTGCTGCTGGTCCTTTTTGGTGCCAGTGGAAGGAGCTGAGATCCTGAGCAGGGACTGTGTGGTGTCAGGCTGAGGAGTTACCAGTCATAAATCCATTTAGTTGCATGGATGGACATGAAATGGGTTCCATTTGTCAGGAAAAACACCCTGAGAACTGGAAAACAACATGCTGGAAGCCCTGTTTAAAATTAATCCAAAATAAAAGTCTAATATTTACTAAACTAGAAGTTTTCAAAGAAAAGTTACCTGATTTTTTTGCAAGACTTTTTTTTTTCAGACCTACTAGTGTAGCTTTCCTTTAAACATTCAAGTTCAGTGTCCCAAATTCCAACCCTGGGCTGTAGATTGGAACTAAATGATCTTTAAGGTCTCTTCCAACCCAAACCATTCTATGATTTTGTCTTAATTACATTTAAAATTGGAGTAAATAACCTTCTAAGGTTACAAATAAATCTGTTATGTTAAGGAGGGACAATACGAGAAAACTGTTGGTGAACATAGTCATTTTTATTAATCTTAAAAAAAGACAGTGAAAGACACTAAAAAAAGACTTTCTGTCCCTGGTTTAAACAACTTACCGTTTCCATTTGGTAATTAAAGTTATGTATTTCAAGCCATGTTAGCAACAGAAGTTGGAGGGTTAGTCTGGATGGGAGATGGCTGCACCATAGCCCGAGGTAACAACTTAAGCTGTCATACTTTCAAATTCTGATTGGCAAGTCCGTGTGGGTATTTGTGTCAAACATAATGGCATTTTGTGCTTACACAGGATTACTGAACTTGACTAAAATTGGCATTTGGGCTCCGGGAATAGGATAATATTGGAGTCTGTTAATAGTGCATAATCACCACATTCCTACTTGTAAATGTTCTGTGCCTGAAAGATTTTTCTAACATTTGTTTAAAATTATTTTGCAGCAATGCGACATTGTTCAAGTACGGTTTATTTTGCTCATGAGTTGGTTTTTTTTGCCAGAATTTCATCGTTCTGGTAAAGTCTTTATTGTCCCACTGTTGAACAATGTTCTGATGTCCAATTTTTAGGTTGTGAATCTGGATATGCCCTTCAAAGACGATTCAGAGCTCCAGAAGTACTCAAAGGTAAGGCTTACATGGTGGTTTCCTTTGTGGTGTATGTTGGCAGAGTAATCCTGGGAGGGCATGACATGATTCCAGATGTGTTTCAGGAATTCAGTGGTTTTGTGGCTCTATATTTTCCAAAAAAAGGCTGCCAATATTCTGCTTATCTCTTGGACTGAGCCAATACCTTTTCATAGCACAGGCAAATGAACCTTTTAACAGTTCATTACCAAACCCCCAAACAACAAAAAACCACCCTCAAGCTATGCACATAAACTCTAAATTTTGGGGTACTTAATTGCACAGAGTGGAATAGAGGTTGAAACTCTGCTGAACAACTTTTTTGTCCCACAGAGGATTTTGCTGTAGTGATCCTGGCTCAGGGAAAGGGATGTGTAATTCATTTAATTGTCAGATCTTAAATTAATTTCACTTCCAAGAGATTTTCAAGATATCTATGTTAATATTGTAGAGAAGAGGTTTTTAGAGGTGATGGGTTTATATATTTGTGGGGACACCTCAGTGGGGAAGGACCATAAAGTCATGATCAGACATGGCTGTGAAGGAATGCTGTGGATCAGTAGATTACTCCTTTTATTTGAATATCCAGAATAATCTGGGAAACAGGATAGTCAGTGTTTGAACTCCAGTAATAAAAAGCCAGATGTCCAGACTGAATGAGCAGCTCCTGCAGATCATCTCTTCTCCCCAAGTTGCCATGATTTCTTCTGCCTAGTCTGGATAGTGTATCACTTGTTTTCTACTTTTCCTAATATTAGCAGACTTAAGGCACTGAGGGTTGGAGCTTCCCCTAGAGAAAAATTCAAAATTAGGCAGTCCCAGTGGGAAAAGGCTGACACAAAATCAGTGATTTCCCCTTGCAGAAAAAGGGATGTCAGTTTTAGTAACTACCTACAGAGGACACTTCATGGATACTTTTTCTACCTTGAAGTAGTGGAGCCCCCAAAGGAGTAAGACAGCTGATCTTGTGGTGAGATTTTAGGCCAATTATGGAATTAATTTTATTCCTTTATTTATTTTTGTTTGTTTGTTTGGTTTTTGTTTTGCTCCAATCCCGAGGAAGTGGGGTTGGAACTGGAGATGTTTAAGGTCCTTTCCAACCCAAACCATTCTGTGATTTGTTGACCACTCACCTTTTGGGTGGTACTTCTCTCTGTATTTTTCCCATTATGTTTAATTATTTGAGAATACAGTTCACATTGCCTTTTCCCCCAAAGAGCAGACTGGTTGTTTTTATTTGTGCAAACAGTTTGTAAAGAAAAGAACAGTTGTGCTGTAACACAGGTGTGGTCACTGTGAACATTTAATCATCTTACTCTGGGTTTGGTTCAGTTTGGTGAGCTACTGAATCCTCCATCTGTTTTTATCGTGGTAGATAAAGATTTATACTTAAATATCCACTTATATTTATCTTCTGGCAGCTGTTACCCATCCACACTCTGAGATTAGGAGTTGAGCTGGACACTTTTGATGGACATCATTATATATCATCCATTGCTTCAGATAGCCCAGCTGCAACCCTTGGACTTCTGCAACTGGAGGATGAACTTCTGGAGGTAAAAAAAATAAAACAGAACCCCCACAAAAATAAAAATTATGTATTTCCTGTTTGTTTGATGTTCTTAAAATGCTTCTCTTAATTCTAGCTTGGCTGCTGTGTGTGCAGTAGTTATTCCAGAGTTAGTTGTGGAAGCAGAGTTGGGCTTTGGAATTCACATTCGTTTTCTTCACTGTTCTCTTCCACATTTGTGGACAAAATGTCAAATTTTTGTGACCTCTCAGTGACTTCATGGGTATTTTTTCTGAAATGTTTTAACATGAATATCAAGAGTTACAAGGGCAGAGATAATATTTGCATTGAATTATTTGTGGCTCAGTCTTTTGAACAATTTGGCTTTAGCTTTCGTGGTGAATAATCTTTCTGAATATTTGTCACCCCTAAAACATTTACAACAGTCTTAGGAACAGTGGTTTCAGTTACACAATAAAACTTTTTTGTTGAGTGTTGAAAGATGTTTGTATGTATAAGCAAATACATCAGTTTGTTTAAATGTGTATAAAGAGGTATTGGGGCAGCTTTGGAGTCATCAGAGTCACATTAGACCTATTTTCTCAGGAAAAATAATTATTTGATAAAATTAAAATAATTCCTATTTTGTGTGTGTACATGTATCCATTGATATCTCAGCCTGCAAGTGAAAAGATATTTATTTATTATTGCATGCTTATTCCTTATGGAATATTTTGATATTTGAACCTTTTTTTAGTGGATGCAAAGAACATTTAATGGAAACAGAATTAGGCCTTCTGAAAGATTGATTTGTTAGGCGTACAGCTATTTTGCTTTTGCTTCTTCACCCTCTAACATCAAAAATTCATACTGATATCACTATGACCTAAAACATTTTCTTACTGCTTAATGGAGGAAATCTTGATTCCTGAAGGAAGGGATTAATGGAATGCTGGAAGTGTCATTTAAATTGCTTGGCCACTAAACAAAAATTACATAAAAACCAATAATGCAGTGCTGTAGAGTAACTTAGGAAACTTTAATTGTGTATATTTAACAGTTCTATGTATTAGTCTGTATTCAAAATTAAGTTCACAGGTATGTCCAGACCTAGTGAGTGTAAATTTTTTTGCTACTCTGTAGTTGGGAAAAAGCCCCCAACAAAATAAAAATGTGCTCTGGGGCTAAAGCTGTAAGTGCCAGGTTTAGCCCAGACTGTGTTTTTGCAGCCAAGTTATAAATCCCCTTAAATGGGGGTTTGCAGTGGAAAAAGTGACAGCCCCATTCCCCAAACAAGCAGCCTTACCTGGGCCTGATACATTTGGGATTGAAACATGATCAGCAAGGATTTTTTTTTTTTTCAATATATAGCGAGGTTGAATGTTGATTATTTTTAATGATGTGTTTGAATTATGACAGACAGCACGATACCCCTCCCCTGCCCTTCATTTCTGCTAATTCCACTGTGTTCTTTTTCAGGAGTAAATTGCTTTTTTGTGCCCTTTTGTTGTACAATTTCCCTGCTATTTGAGGGCTGGCTGGCTGATGTGCTGAATGAGGGGGTGTAGGGCACCTTGCCTACTCAGAGGCTGATTTCTTGATTTCTGGCAGCTGCAGGAGGAGAAATGGGAGTCCCCAGGTCTGCTGGGGGGTGCACAGTAGCTCTTCCCCATCCATCATGGGATGCTGAGAAGTGCTGGGAGTTTTCCACCACGCTGCCACTCTCCAAGCATTAAAAAATCCTTACGCGTAGATCCTTCTGCTTAAATAATTAACTAATGGCTGAGGCTGATAGCTCAGCACTTGCTGTAATTCTTGCAGAAAAAGCCCAGAGCAGTCTGTCTTACCATGGTGGAGGCCAGTTCCACCACTCTCAGTTTTCCTGCTTGGCTGGGATGTGTGGTGTGAGAGGAACTCTGTGCTTCCCAGCAGTACAAAGAACATTTACCCTGCAAAAAGCACAAAGCAGGGGGGGAAAAATAAAAGTGATCAGGAAACAAATGTTGGCTAAAGTGGGATTGTAAGACTGAAACCCCTCTAATCAGCAAGATCTGGGAGGTTTATGGAAAGGCTCTGCCTCAAGTGCACACATACAAAGGTGCGTCCACGTCTGGCGAATGTTTCCTTGCTCTGTTTTCTAGGATCAGATGTGGGTTCCTTTGCACTGTGGGCATGGAGGGAAGTACTGAAGGTAATCCTCAGTCATCCCCACTTTTTGTGCCTTGGTTCCTGCTCTGGAGTGACTTGGATGAGGTGCTGGATTCCCAAACCAGTGGCTGCACTCCAGCAGTGTGGACATTTGGTCATGAGAGAGGCTTGAGGCAGCCTAAGAGGAATCCCTGGAACACACGAGGTGTTTCCTGAGTCCACAGCACTAATTGGGTTAAACCTCTGCTCTTTTGGGGCTGCAGTGCTGGTTAGCATAGGTGATCTATGACATCTGCTGACATTCTGCTGTCCTCCTATTTAGGGACACCCCTGTGGTGCAAAGAGAGGAACCCTCAGGATATAAAGGTTATAAAATAGGTAAAAGAGGATGAATCACTCCTTTTTTTCCTGCAGAAGTAGAATCACAGAGTGACAGAATGGTTTGGGATGGAGGGGACATCGAAGCCCATCCAGTTCAACCCCTGCCATGGGCAGGGACACCTTCCACTATCCCTTAGGTTGCTCTAAGCCCCATCCAGCCTGGCCTTGGACACTTCCAGGGATGGGACAGCTACAAAAAAAATACAATTCTATATCTATCTGTCTATCTATCTATCTAATCTATCTATCTCTATATTTTTTTTTTCTGTTTCAAAGTCTGTGGTTTAGAACATCTATTAACAATGTTCTGTTATCACTCACAATCTTGAGTTTATGGTATGGTAAGCTTTGACCCTTGTTGGGCCTTTCTGGTTAATTGCTTACTGTAATTGGTTTCTTTGTTACTGTACAAAGGTTCTTGCCTGTTTTCTGTAGCAGCTATTTTAGTTTCAGCCACTTTGTTACATTTTAAACTGGAAAAGTCAGAAATCACAGAATCATTAAGGTTGGAAAACACCTCTAAGGTCATTGAGCCAAACTTTTAAACTAGTTGTGGTAGTTCTGGCTTCAGTCTTTTGATCAGAGCTCAGGACCCGTGCTTGCCTAAAATGTTGTGGGGAAATTTACATTTTTTATCTTTATTTTAAAGATCCCCAACAAAGAAACAGGTGAGAAAGAAATAAGAATTCTAGGAAACGTTTAGGCTTGGAAAAGTGGTGAGCAGAAAAGAACTTAGAGGAAGCTAAAGAGACATGATGGAGCAGTAGTCACAAGATCTTGGAGATGAAGTTTCACAATAATGTATATGTTCTTCAGAAGTGTATGTTAATAAAACTGTGCAAGCTGTGCCAGAATCCTCAGGTAAAATCAGACTTTCACACTCAGGTGGGGAAAAATGCACGCCAAAAAAAAAATTAAAAAAAAAAATAAAATCAAATAATCTGGTGGATATCCTTGAATTCTCTTTGTGTGGATGCATGTTCCCACTCTGCAGGTAAATGGGGTGCAGCTGTATGGAAAATCCCGACGTGAGGCTGTCACCTTCCTCAAGGAAGTGCCACCCCCTTTCACCCTGGTGTGCTGCCGGCGGCTCTTCGGTGACGGCACCGAGTCTTTCGTGGACGAGCCCCCCGTGGCAGTTCCCCCTCCAGAGCAGAAGGTAACACTTCTCCTGTCACCCACTTGTGCAAAAGGACAGTAACTTTTTGGGAAAGTTGTTGTATTTCTGGGTTTCCACCAGTTGGTCACTTCATTGTCCTGGGAGGTAAGGTAGGTAAATCACCGTGCTGCTTTGCTGACTGTTCATCCCATTCATCATCCCTACACTTAATAGGTGAGTGAGAGCTCTGAATTACACTAAATCACATCTTTGCCACCATTAGCTGATTGCTTCCATGTTCTGAGCAGCTTTTATAGAACTGGGAGGGAAAAAAAATTGAGATGTAAAAGTTTCTTTTCATCGCAGGAGCTTTAAAGTCTCAAACTAAAGCTTGACACTTGTGGTTGCTCCTATTTGCAAAAGTATTTACAGCCTGGCTTCTCATCTTTTCTGATTGTCTGGCCTTTCTATTAGCTGTCTGTGGTTAGATCTTTTATGCTATTTATTTTTCCTTTATGCATCTAATGGGACAGCTGAAGTTCATCAACATGTAACAGGTTAGTAATATTCTAACAATTAATTAGACTAATACATGGGTATTTGTGTGCCAGGTTGGGCTCTGATGCTCAAAACATGTAGGCCTGTGCCCAAGGGAGTACTCAAGGCAGCAAGCTGGAGAAAACTCTATTCATAATGCTCAGTGAAGTTTTAATTCCATAAAAGGTTACATTTTAGGGCATGTATGCACCATTAATAATCAAAATATTGAAGGAATAGTGTTCCTAAAGAGCTGAGAGAATGGTATTTGAACCAGAGCTTTTATTTTCCAGGTGAAACCTGAGGAAGACTTTAATCCTGAGGAGGAAGAAGGGGAATTGGCATTATGGTCTCCTGATGTGAAGGTTATTGAGCTGGAGAAAGACAAAAATGGTTTAGGATTCAGCATTTTAGACTATCAGGTATACTTTTCTGCATAACTAAATACTGGAAATCCCTTTGTTCCTTTGTCTTGCACGGTGCTTTAAAATGTTTTGTGATGTTGAATACTGATTAGTGGACTTGAAACTTGGGCCTAAAAACTATAGGGGAAAGTAAAGTATTTTGAAGCCAACTCTATAAAATATGGAGTGTTCTAAACCTCTGATTATTGATATGACAATATCAATGACATGATAAAGTGCAAAATCTTTAATCAAGCTCTACCCCATAACTCTTTAATGACTAAATGTTGGGCAAAGTCGTGATTTTGTTGTATTTTGTTGTAACTTTTCAGCTGTGAGGGTGGCAAGCAAAAGTTCTTGGGTATTAGTTGGAGATGATTATATTCTTACTTGTTAAACTCCTTAGAAATCAACAGGCAAGTCTTTAATTGGAGAGGAATGCTACTAAAATTAATGGATCCTTCTTTCAGAAACACTGGCTTCAATTTAATATGTAGAAACACTCAAAATCCATAGTCAGAATGAAATGTTCTTCATGTTTCTAGTCAGCATGATATATTATTTTTAAACTTCCAGTCATCATATTTATAAGGAAATAAAATAGCTGGATCACTCTTTATAATAATATACACATCACATCTGAGTGCTGCCTAAACATTGTAGTTTAATGAAATGTGCTCAACTGTTGTACATAAATGTCAAGTGATATAAAATTCACTTTTTGATACAATAAGGCAGGAATTGGGAATGAATTAGAAGGAAGAAAGTATTTGAAGTATTATGCAAACCCATTAATTCTGTATTTTACCAGTGTGATTTAAGATTACTGAAAATAGATCCTGTTAGTCATTTTAGCTGACACATGTTGTGTTGCAGTGCCAGCTCTACTCTAGAGTTGCTGGGAGTCTTTACAGAGCAGTAATACACAGATTTGCTTTTAAGTTCTCATATAATCAGAATTAATGAAGGCTTTAATAGCAGGCTTTTTATTTACTTATTCGCAGATGCAAATACACGAGCAATGTTGTGGTACTTTCAGCTAAATTTAAATACATTCTAATCAATTCTAAATGAGTGGTAAACCACTTAATCTCAGATCTTTATAATTTCAAGATATTTATGTATAAAGTGTGTTCTTTTGTTTGGGATTTGCCTCTTAGATCTTTTACACTTTTCATCATCTGCAGATTAATTTTTATAGAGAGATATCTGTGGCTCTGTGTGTGTGTATGTAAATACATCCATCACATCCTTGAGTACAAGGCAAAGAAAATAAATAATTGTCCATGCAACAGTGGAGGCAAGGAAAGAAAAAAAAAAACTGTGTGTGGTTCCTGGGAGAGTGTTTGGAATTCTTAGCACAGATTTGCTGGGAAGCACAGAATTACAGCACTGTTTAATTGTGCCTTAAAGGACCTGGAGACCCTTCTTTAAAACATGAGAGGTGTTTTTTTAGGCACATACTCTTTGTTTTACAAGAGAAAATTCAAGCCTTATAGTGGCAATTGGTAGTGCTTGTGCTGTGTATCCACTGCTGATTTTGCTCCTTTGGAGGAATACGATTTTAAATTGTTTTTAAGGTATTTTTCAATGAAGGTGAGTCTTCCCATGGCCCATCTTCATCATCAGTGTGTGACCAGCCTTTCTAGGCTGCCACAGTGTTGATGTAGGTAGGGTGGGGAGGAAAACGCTTTTGAAGGGGAGATTTTGAGCAGGAAGCCTGTTGGTAATTAACACACAAGAACTGTCTCTGTCCATTACAGAAATTTAAGGAAAGTTTGGTGTTGCATACCCAGCTTGGAGGAGGTGGTGTGACTATCCTGGGTTTTTTAAATCCAATTATTTCTATAGCTGTCGGTTGAAATGACACTTGTGAAATACTGGAAGGACTTCAGGAAGTTCAGTGGGAGCAGGGAAGTTGTGTCAGGGTTAAAAAGTGGCGATGCTCTATTGTCCCAGCTCACCTTTCCCCACACAAAGGTGGAGCAACACCTTTGAAATGGTGGATCCCAGTGGATCCCAGCCCTAAGGTGAGACTGGGGCTGTTCCCTGCAGTGTTTAAGGAGCCCTGGAGTCCTGCTCATACATTTCTGACAGTGAGAGATGCCAGACACGCTGCAGGAGCACAGGAATGCTCAGCAATTACAGACCAGGCTGCTCCCAGTGCTCTGGAAGTTTCTTCCTACTTGCTTTCAAGCACAAAGCTTTTTACCTTTCCATCTTAATTTTGATTGTTGAATTAGAAGTTGTTCTGAACACTCCTACGGTATATAATTTATAATATTTGCCATTTTGCTTTTCAAAACTGGCTGCATGCTCAGCATAAAGGATGCTGTGCCTCAGTTGTCCTAAATGCTGCGCTTCCATGCTCTGGAAAACAGAATTAATAAAAACTCTTTGTGAGGCAGAATAGGAGTCTGAGTACGTGGAAAACTGAATGCTGAGATCAAGAAAATTATTACTCTGGCATATTAATTTTTAATGGGCTGTCTTTCTAATAATGTTTCATCTATCAAATAAATGATAAGCACATCCCAAGTGACTTGCAGGATATTCCCAGAAATGTACAAGCATAATTCCAATGCCTATATATTTTAATGAACTAATTACAAATTAATTATACCAATTTTGCATAATCAATAGTATTTCTACTTTGTGCTGTGTTTTCTTTTGATTGTCTTTAGGGATTTAAAAGCTTAAAAGAGAGCCACCTTCCTTTTTTTTAATAAGGTTCTTAAAACTTTGGGGTAGTTATCCCTTTTGGTATGACAGGATAGTATTTGTATAGGATATTCTTTGTCTTCCTGTGGTCTCTATGGGTATTAAAAAAACCCTTTTTTTTCTGCTTTGAATGTTGTAATTTGTAATTATGTTGTAGGAAATCTAAAATTTTTGAGACTGCTGCTCTGCTGGCAGCAAGGTCGGTACTTGGTGAGAGGGGAGGTGGATGGGAAGCTGATCCTGTGGATTCTTGAAATGATGGATTTCACTGGACTTCTTTTATTTAAATAAGAAACTCTGAAGATCTCTTAAAATGAAATCTTCTGTGGTTGTTTTTCCTATTGTCATCACTGTGTTGGGACCTGGTCACAGCTCCTAGACCAGGCACTGCTTTTTCTTGCTGGAGCTTTGATGGGAAGGCTGCAGAGGTCTCCTGGCCATTAAAAAGCTGTGCTGCTCAACCTTCTGGCCAACTCCTCTGTGCAGTAACACACTCTGCCTCCCTTCATTTCCTTCTCTTTTCACTTGGAGAGGTTGCTCTCCCTTTCACCTCTTCACTAACCTTTATGTAGTGCTGCTGGCACAGGTGGTGCCAAGTGTGCTCTGGTGGTGAGGGAGGGACCCAGGACACTGCTGCTGCTGCTGCTGGAGCGATTTGGGATCACCTGGGAGGCAAGGGGCTGCAGTCAGTGTATTTCGTGTTCTTTGTCAGCAGACCTGAAAGTATCCAGCTTAACAGTAAATTTGTCTAGCCTGGAACTAATCACAGAATCCCAGAATGGTTTGGGTTGGAAGGGGTCTTAACTCTCATCCAGTTCCAAACCCTGCAGCTTCCACTAGACCAGCTTGCTCCAAGCCCCATCCAGCCTCCTGGCCAGCGAGTCAAGAGCTAAGCCATTGATTTTGAGACCAATCCCTTTTTCTTTGAAAGAAATGGAAAGATACATTATCAGGTTAAAATACAGAAGAAATGCTGTCTAAAAACGACTGTGATCCCAGGGCATTAGTGCAAGAGGAAAGAAAAATCCCGTAAGACTTAGAGAGAAAAAGAAGAGATCCCAGCAGGATGGAAGGTTCTTTGAGCCCTGAAACAGTGTTTACCAAAGACCTGATGCATTGCAGGCCAACAGATTCTGTCAGTAATGTTTTACAGAAATATTGGAAAAACCACAGGTAGCTGAATTGCAGATTTCTTGAGGCAGTATTGACCAGAAGGTAACTTGAATGGTCTGATGAGCTTTTATCAAATTAAACAAAAAGCTGAATGGACTTTATGTGGAGCTTAATTTACTGTGCTTTGAAGTCAGGGTCTTTATAAGGCAGCTGTTTCAGAGTGCATGAAACTGGAGAGGGTGAGGGGTGGAATGGGGAGGTTTGACATTTTACATAACTCTTGGGAAGGACTGTGAGATGCTGTTTCTCCCTGTTTGTGCTGAGAGATAAGTCCCCAGTGCCTGCTTGCTTTGGCACAGTCCAGCTGCCCTGGAGAGCTGTCTGGCTGTAGGAACTCATGGACTCACCTGCTCCAAGTGACCCATGGAAGCAGAAAGAGGCATTTCAGCACTCAAGAGCTTCAAGTTACCCTGAACTGGAGAAGCAGCGTGAATTGTGCCTGCCTTGGGCTGCCTGGGTCAGTGCTCCAGGGATTTTCCTGTGGTCTAGCAACAGGGACCCCACAGCTGCCTTATTCCTGGCTTCCCTTTATTATTAGTAGCAGTTTTTCGTGCTGTTGAACTGAAGTCTCTTTTGCTGCACATTCAGCAGGTTATGTTTTGTCCTTCTCCCAGGGAGCATGGGAAACAATTGTTTTCTCTTTTCTAACAAAATCACTGCATAGTCATTCACGGCAGGAAGTGAAGCAATTTAAGTGTCTCCAAATATCTTTCCTCTTTTCTTTATGCCCCAAACAGGCTCCAGATGTAGAGTTACAAAAAAAAAAAAAAAAAAAAAAAGCAAAACTGACTTCTTATTTGTAGAAGGTGGTATTCAAGTAGATTATATTTTTTTTTTTACTTTCTTGGTCTGTTCAGCAGTGAGACGCAGGCTGGAATGCTTTGACAAGTTGCTGCCTAAACGTTTGCCCTCTTGTGATAATTTGAGCTTTGTCTGTTCTTGTGATAAGTTTGTTATGAACAAAGAAGCATATTCACGTCTTTGTTAAGCACATTTTCACCTGATCATGTGATGGAAACCTGTGGCTTACTGGCAAAAGCTGCACAGCTGTATTAAAAAGCAGTTTTACAATGGCTATCAGCTTGGTACTGGGAAAACTGATAAAGGCAGCTTTTCTCCCATCT